TCATCACACTTGAATATCTCAACAATCTCCCCTTCAAGTGTGAAACCCACCATTGGTATGCTCCTCCTCAACCGAGTACCCAAAGCGCAAAGTACTCAACCCGCCTCCTAGCCAATCACTAGGCTAGCTCGAGCCCAATCCGGCTCTGATACCACTGTTGGGAAATTCGTTCCCTCAAACTCCAATGTCAAGCGGGTCCAGGGAAAGCCCGTGGCGGGGGCCACCACCAATGAGCTAAGGCTACACCAACCGTAGCAGGTGGATCTGACACCATGTCTCAACCCAAAACCTTAAGGCAATGAGTTCATGGGTCCTTTCACTTATATGCTCTTCACTTAGCTCATTACCAACCAATGTGGGACTCATCACACTTGAATATCTCAACAATAACTACTTAAAATATGAAGTAAAAGTGAAAAACCAACTCTAATCTTGTACATTTTCATGGCTCCACCCCGTCACACGTTTACTTAGGTTATTAGATGCTAATATGACCAGCTTTTTTATTTTTTCAAAATTTTTAAATCAACAACTAATATTTTAATATCAAATGTAGACAATATGAAGTGCAGAGTTCTAAAAATTAAACCTTTAGAAGGATAGTCTTTTATAACAGCTGGCAGAGCCTACATTTGCTAAATGGTAACGAGTCAGCATCCCCGTTTTATGAACAAAACGACATTTTAACAAAGTGCTTAAGAAAGTGTAAAGAAAGCAATGATTCTTGTATTAGACCCTTTAATTGCAATTTTTTTTAAGGTCGTTCTTCCTGATTCTGTGTCTCAGAGTTCACAGACATCCACTGGTTTTAAAATTAGAAATTTCTTAACTTTTCTTGCATCAAATCTGTGAATGATCAATATGGTCACTTCACGGTTCGATTTGCCTTTTGTTGCCATCCCAAAACTTTAACAAGACTTTTTAATAAAAAATAAAATAAAAAAACAGGAAGCTGTTCTGGTCTTCCAAGTACATTTTTTTCCATTTCATTTTCATGAAAAATGCTTCATTTTAAGCCAAGCAATTAGTACAACATTTAAACACAAGAGTGTGGATGACATGGCTTGCCTGGTTGATTATGTTAGTAGGTGAATGAGAGCGGGAAGAAGAGCCCATAAATATAACATCAACCGGCTTCCCTTTGTTCTTTGGTGTTCCTTCTTCTTTTCCTTGCTTCTTTAGTACTCTCAGTGATCTCCTCCTCCTGGGTGGCATTGTAATATAGAATGCAAGTTTTCAACAAAGAATACTCACCAATGATCCAAATGACTTAGATGCAGCCTACTATTTCTTCAAGCTTCAAATGTGCTTCGTTCCAACCCTCACTGTCACTTTCCGGAATAAATATTTAGTGCAACTATCTTGGTGTATCCGTTAAGAATGGTACGGGGAGCCCAAAACCCATCGCAAGGGATACATCCATGGGCCAAGCGATAAACCACAATAAGTGGGCCGACACCACATTTTAACCCAAAACCTTAAGGCTGTAGGTTTATGGGTCTTTTTGCACTTATATAATCATCACTTGGTCTATGTCTAGTCGATGTGGTACTTCTTTATAACTCATACTTGAATACTTCCAACATCTTCCCCTCAAGTATGAGACCCAACATTATGCTCCCCCTTAAGGGCAACAGGGCAACTTCTGCGGAAGTCTTTTTTCTTTAAGTATTGGAGTCACACTAGCCTTCTGCGGAGGCCTTGAAACATCACCATCTCTAAATACCTGGCCCAGCCAAACCTTTGGCTCTGATACCATTGTTGAGAATGGTACGGGGAGCCCAAAACCCATTGCAAGGGATACATCCATGGGCCAAGCGATAAACCACAATAAGTGGGCCGACACCACATTTTAACCCAAAACCTTAAGGCTGTAGGTTTATGGGTCTTTTTGCACTTATATAGTCATCACTTGGTCTATGTCTAATCGATGTGGTACTTCTTTATAACTTATACTTGAATACTTCCAACAGTATCTTCATTTTGAGACAAGTAAATAAAAAAAACATAAAATTATCCGAAAAAAAAAGAAAATTAAATAAAAGCTGATGAGGTAATGTGATGTTTTTTTATTTACGTGTCATGAAATAAATGACAGATATAATAAATAAATTTTAAATCCATAGTTGCATTAAAGATTTATTCTACTTTCTGGTCAAAACGAACGACCGACCGTACAAGCATATCTGGAAAACAAAAGAAAGGACCGTAGCAGCAGTAGCAGATATGGAAGACAAAAGAGAGGACGGTACTTGCATAGCAGACAACACATCTTCCACCTCAAACGTTACATTTTGAAAATCATTTATTATTTCTCAACATAACAAAGCTCAACCTCAATAGTCAATAGCATAAGAAAGAATAATTAATTAATTAATCAGTGCTCATATTAATAATATACTACACTAACGCTAACAAGAAGAAGGGGAAAAAAAAAGCCAGCAACTGCAACATTATCTCAAACTGAAAAGAACAGGGAAAGTGATCTGCTATTTAGTATTGACAAGGTTAAATAGATGGTTTCTTGAGAACAAGGATTACTTAGATATCAAAGTAATAAGAGGGGTGTGTGTGCATGATCGTGAAACCAAAAAAAAATAAAGCATGAAATCGTTTTTGATTTACCAACGGCTAAATTTTTTCACTTTTTAACCAAAAATGTTAAGTTTGAGCTTTTCCAACGTACCGAAACAAAAAAAAAAAAAAAAAAAAAATCGTGAAATCGTGTTTGAGCTTTACCAACGGCTAAACTCTTGTTTTTTAACAAAAAAATATTAAGTTTGAGGTTTAAGCACCGAAACAAGCAAAAAAAATAGACGTAGGATAGTTTAGAAATTTTATTTTCCTTTTACATTATAAATTTTACTGAAATATCCTATATTATTTTTTTCCAAACCTCAAATCAATATTGTTTTGAATTGGAAGAGATAATTTTATAATGCTATCTAATTAAGTAATTATATTTAAAGATGTTAATCCCTCTATTTATAAAGTAAAATATAAAAAGTATTTTTAAACCTTCCACCAGCTCGTCACCTATAATGCTATTGCTATCACATGTCACCACTGTCATTGCATTATTATGTAGCTTGCAAGACAAAGTTTATATATCATCACTGGATGTTAAAAAAAATATATATGAACATAAGATTGTTACTTCACATCTCACCCATTAATTTTTATATATTTGATGGTTATAATTTATTTAGGATTAATAATTAATTAATAGATATAACTAAATAAACAATAATTGTCAGATGCAAGAAAATCAATGACTAAGATAAGAAGTAAGACTTTTTAATATCATAACAAAGTCAAAAGATCCTTCCCAACTCTCTATACATGTGAAAGAAAAAAATTCAATCTAATAATAAATTAATAATATAATTATTTAATAAAAAGTTATTTAATGATATAAGGGTAATTTTGACTAACTCGTGCAAATTTTAGACTATTAAGTTGATGTATGCTTAAGGAAAAACACACCTAGAATGAGTTGGGTAACTTGTGTACAGTGTTTAAAAACTCGACACCGCCATCGATCCGGTCAAGAACAGGGGTCAGGAGTCACGGGTTCAACCGAGGGGTCACGGGGTCACTACGCTGACTCGGTTTTATATATTAAAAAATTATAAATATATATATCTTATATGAAAATATTAAAAAATAAATCACCAATCATCAAAAATTTAAAATATACTTAACATAATTCACCAATTACAACCACAAGTCAATATTACACAACCTTATTAAAGTATCAAGATACCAAAGTACAAAACTCATATATTCTAATAGGGTCACTACGCTGACCCGATTTTGCCTCTTTTGAGAAGATTCCTAACAAAGAAAAATTTAAAAGATGTAAGAATGAGCTTTTGTTTTCAATCGACGACCGTAAGAATTTCATTTGAATGGGTAAAATTCTTATCTTTTCTAGAAGATTCACGACAGCGAGGTGAAGATTGAAGACATCTAGGTCGCTGGGAGAGAAGAGAACGAATAGATTTAGGTTTGCAAGCATTTTTATTTTATTATTTTTTTAATAAAATAATGTTATTTCATGGAATTTTAAAGAATAAAAAAACATGCAGTGATCCTTTTTGACCCCTATGACCCGGGAGTCACTGAAACCCGACCGGGTTTTGAGAGTCGGAAGAGTCGATATGCATATAGAGTCCAACTTGTGACCCCAACCCTCAGAGGGGAGGGGTCAGGGTTGACCCGAGTCAACCAAGGTGAGGTGAGGTGTACGTTATGTTATTTATGGTCTACCCGAGTGTTAATAATTTGATATCCCTTAGTTGGGATTTTTATATTTAAAATAAAATTATGCTCTTGATTGAAAAACGCTAACGTAAATAAATATTTTTAATGTATAAACATAGAAAATCATGACTAATTTCATGATATATGATCCCTAAGTTTGCAAGGAAAATTATGTTATACACAAAAACATTGTTCAAGTGTATGACTCCAAGTTGATATTGCTGGGTTGTGAATTTCTGATGTATCAATATTGATGGATAGCAATGGAACCATCATAAGTGAGAGACGTTAAATCCAAACAAAACATTTCAAACTATCCTAACTAAATTCATGCTTCGGGGGCTTGACATTGTTGATCAAGTTACTCTTTTGGGTAGATTTCTAGAAATTGTCTGTTGTCTGGAAATCCAAGTTAATGACCTTCTTTACAAAGTATCTCTGTTTAATGCTATTAGCTCTCTCCAGTGAATCTGGATATCATCACAGACAAAAATATAAATGGCATCTACTGAGAAGAAAATCTGGACATAAGGTTCACATGAGACTGTTCCAGATACTTGAGGCAAAACAGATTCTTAGTCAATCTAGCACACTGAAAGAAGCTAAAGAGAGCAATAGACAATTCATTAAAAATGTGTAGAGAGAACTTGAAGAAAATGAAGCAGAAAATAATGTTGTGGCAGCAAAGCTCAGATCAATCCATGGAGAAAGCAGAGATGGTGAGATGAAATGGCTTAAAGCAAACCATCTACCAGTGAGCACTTGTGAAAGCGCCTCACTTTAGATTTGGCATCTGCAATAGTTGCAGCTATTGCTATACTCTCATCCCATGCTTTAGCCAGTGTCTCCTTGCAAACAGTCTCTCTAGCATGGATTGATATGAGCTTTTCTGCCACGACATTCTTTTCAGCTTCATTTTCTTCCAGTTCTCTCTTCACATTTTCAATGAATTGTCTATTGCTCTCTTTAGCTTCTTTCAGTGTGCTAGATTGACTAAGAATCTGTTTTGCCTCAAGTATCTGGAACAGTCTCATGTGAAGCCACCCTATGTCCACTTTCATATTTTTCATTTCATTCACAAGAGCAATCATATCTTGCAGGTCATCTTCTTTGATTTTACTAAGATCCTCGTCTTGCAATTCTGAGAAGATATCACATATCATATCCAACAACATTGAACGGTATTTCATTGTTGATATGGTACAATTCTTAGCAATATCTCCATGCTTATTGAGGATTTTTTTTAGTAGGGGTATGGATTCTGGCTTCACTTGGTATGCATCAACTGTGCCCATTGGCAAGCTCTGTCCAACAGAGTTAACCTCATCTTCATTATCATCACACATCTTGACCATGTCAGTTAGATTGAGGCTGAAAGATTGGGATGGACGTTCAGCCATTGAAATAGACTTGTTATGATTCTTATTTGCTCTTGATGCTTGAATATTAGGCCCTTCCATTTGATCTAAGTGATTTGGCGCTGACATTTCAGCCTCACTTGCCTCCTTCATTTCTGGTATATCCACTTGTGTCATGTTGAAAGTATCAGCATGTATAAGAGAACATGTTGGAGCTTGATATGCCTGCACAATCATTTTAATGGTAGACATCTGATGAATGTTGGCAGAGATGCACTCAAACGGAAAAAATAAACCAAAAATTGAAGATAAACTAGAGGTTATGAGAAATACAATTCTGTCATCTAAAGAATCATGTATGTGCGTGTGTTAAATGCATCATTATAATATATTTATAGTACAATCATAAACTAAAGACAGAAGAAATATGGTAAAATAAGAATAAATATATGAGTATCCATCTCAAATGCATACCAAACTAATAACTACTTAAAATTTGAAGCGTAGAACCAACTCTAATCTTGTACATTTTCATGGCTCCTCCCCGTCAAACTTTTACTTGGGTTATTAGACGCTAATATGACCAGTTTTTTTTTTTTTTTCAAAAGTTTTAAATCAACAACTAATATTTTAATATTAAAATGTAGACAATGTGAAGTGCCAAGTTCTAAAAATTAAATCTTTACAACGATAGTCTTTTTATAACACGTTTACTTGCCTTGTTGATGATGTTAGTTGGTGAATCAGAGCGGGAAGAAGAGCCCATAACATCAACCAGCTTCCCTTTGTTCTTTGTTGTTCCTTCTCCTTCTTCTTGCTTCTTTAGTCTCAGTGACCTCCTCCTCCTGGGTGGCATGGTAACACAGAATGCAAGTCTTTTTTTTTTTTTTCAACTTAGAATGCAAGTTTTCAACCAGGAAAACTCGCCAGTGATACAAATGACTTGGATGCAACCTTCTATTTCTTTAAGCTTGAAATGTGCTTCTTCCAACCTTTCCTGTCGCTATCTGGTCAAAAGAAAGGACCGTACTAGCAGTAGCAGATATGCAAAAAGGACCGTTACAAGCAGTAGCAGATATGCAATGCAAAAGAAAGGACAGTACTAGCAGACAACGCATCTTCCACCTCAAACAATACATTTTCAAAATCATTTATTATTTCTCAACACAACACAGCTCAACCTGAATAGCATAAGAAAGAATAATTAATTAATTAATCAGTGCTCATATTAATAATATACTACAAATCAAGTCTAGTCAGCAACGGCAACATTATCTCACACAGAAAAGAAGTGGGAATGTGATGTGCTATTTAGTATTTAGAAGGCTAAAAAGATGGCTTCTTGAGAACAAGGACTACTCAGAGTGGGGTGTGTCATGTGTGTCTCTCTCACTCAGAGTTAAAGACCATGCTATTTGTATGATTGTGAAACCAAAACAATCAAAAAATAAATAAAAATAAAGCATGAAATCGTTTTTGATTTACCCACGGCTAAAATTTTCACTTTTTAACCAAAAATGTTAAGTTTGAGCTTTACCAACATGCAACAAAACAAGCAATCATAATAATAATAAAAAAAAAAGAAGAAGCAAGAAATCGTGTTTGAGCTTTAGCAACAGCTAAGCTTCTTGTTTCTTAACAAAAATTGTTAGGTTTGAGCTTTAACATGTACCGAAACAAGCAAAAAAATGCTTCTAAAGCATGAAATCGTGTTTGATTGAGTTTTTGAACAATTGCTACGAAACCTGAAAACAATAAATGGTATTTTCAAAAGATATGATTAAAATAGGTTCTAGTACTCAGTAGTGATCTTTCTCTTAACTTAAACCAAAGTATTTTATTCATTCACTGACATATTTTACAAGTAAGGATTTACTTTGTATTCAAGTCCTTCTCAGGATTAAAAAAAAAAAACGAAAGAAAAGTCAGGAACCCAGCATGAAGAATTTAGGGAACAGTCCAGAGTTGTGCAAGAGAAAATAGAAGACACAGCCAGTAATATCCCATACAGGACATGTTTCTGAAAGATGTCCAATGATCAAATTTGCTAACTATAAATTTCAAAAGGGATGTTAGGCTTCATAACTGGGAGAGCAATATGCATAAATAAAAAGCAACGTTTAGTTTGTTAACTGAGTTCAAAGATCATTTTAGTTAACTACATCGAAATCAATTTCATTTGGGTTTATCTGCCAACCCCAACTAATTTGAAATAAAGGTGATCTTGATGTTAAGATCCAAATGAATCCAAGAATACAGCATGTGTGATGTATCATTACCCAATTTAAAATATACAGAATAAGTCCTTCCCCTAAAGGGTCAAGATCCATATCCCGAAAAATATATAACAATTAGAATGTTGCAAAGAGTATCAGATTATTTTAATGAATTTGAAAATATCATCAACAAAGCTCACAAGAAAATTCATTACATTAAAAGGGATGATCAGAACGGGCAAATTTTTGACATGGTCAAAGAAGGAAAATCAGCAAAACTTTGCTGTTATTCTTCTTTCCCTCTCCTAATGACCAGAATCCAACAAGTTTGAACAGTATTTCTTTGTCAATACCGTACAATTATTAGCAATATCTCCATACTTACTGAGAATTTTTCGTAGTATGGGTATGGATTCTGGCTTCACTTGGTATACATCAACTGTGTCCGTTGGCGAGCTCTTTCCAACAGAATTAATCTCATCATCTTGATCATCCCACGCATTGACCATCCCATTTAGATTGAGGCTTAAAAATGGGGTTGGACATCCAAACATTTGAATAGACCTGCTATGATTTTTATTTGCTTTTTCCTCTATTTGATGCTTGAATGTCCTCTGCCAAAGGCTCCTGTACAAGTGGGATACAATTTGCTTGAAATGTTTGGGTGCCATAGTCATGGAAATAATTTCTAAAATAGAGTTGAGAAAATTAGGAACGGACACATAATATTTAATGCGAAACAATTTCAATTGATAAGGGAAAAATCACATGTAATAGAATAATTTTCATTAAGTGAAAAAAATTATAACTTCTCTCTAAATGTAAAAAGAGAAAAACTTTAAGTGGGAGATTGTAAAGTCGAAAGGGGGGGGGGGGGAATTAAATCCACTTTTGACTTTACGGCAAACAACAAAGTAAAGGGAAACAATTGAACTAAGCAAATCCTTGCTCAATTGCTCACCAGGTACCCAAGATCAGGCGGTGATCAGAATCTGTTTTTCTTAAATTTTGTCAGCCCAAAGATCTTTAACAACAGCTAAATCAAGAACCTATTGCCTCGCTTGGGTCTCTTTAGTTTATCCTCCAGAAATTAATTTTCCCTGACACCTAGAGGAAGAGTGCCTCTCCTATAACATCATCATTAATTTGTATTAAATTTACCTCTCATCTCATGGAAGCATTTTTAAAGATAACTCAAGGTCATCAAAGAAGAAAACCTGTAAGGCACATATATCCTTAGAATTTCTATAACTACAGGAATTCAAAGCACACTATACATACTGACTGAGCTATAATCCTGACTCTTGCAACCACATTCCATGTGTATATCTGCCTCCACAACATTTTCAGCAATGAGTATAAAACAGTGAATTTATATGCCTCTAGAAATACCACAAACTCAGCGCCAAGTCAGCCCTCAAATAGATATATAAATGGAAACTAACGGATTTAGCATATGTTTGAACAATGAATAACAAAATCAACTCAAAAGTCAAAACAGTCATAAAGGATAACTCAATAAACAGTCCTAAAACCACTACCATGGAGAAAGCAGAGAGGAGGAGAAGAAATGGCAAAAATAAAGCAAACCAACCAATACTGAGCAATTAAGGAAGCGTCTCACTTTAGATTTGGCATATGTTATAGTTGCAATTATCCCTGTAGACTCATATTGATCGGAACTTTGCTGCCACTGCCTTCTTTTCTGCTTCACATTCTTCCAGTTCACTCTCAAGGATTTTTCGATTGCTTTCTTTTGTTTCTTTCAGCATGCTGGACTGTCTGAGAATCTGCCTTGCCTCAAGTATCTCTACTAGTCTCCGGTGAGGCCCCACAATGTCCTCTTTTATATTTTTTATTTCATTTGCAAGAGCAATCATATTACGCAAGTCATCTTCTTTGATTTTACTAAAATTCTTGTCTTGCAATTCTGAGATGATGTCACATATCATATTGAACAACATTGAACGGTATTTCATTGTCAATACAATACAATACAATGCTTGGCAATATCTCCATGGTAGCTGAGAATTTTACTTCATATGGGCATGGACTCCGCCTTCACTTGGTATCCATCAACTGTATCCATTGGTGAGCTCTGTCCAACAGAATTAACCTCATCATCTTCATCAATCCCACACATTAACCTTTTCAGTTAGGTTGAGGCTGAAAGAGGAGGATGGATGTCCAACCATTGAAATATATTTGCTTTGATTCTTATTTGGTCTTTCATCAAAGTTATTTGGTGTTTTTATGTCCTCTGCCAGATGCTCCTGTTCAAGGGGAATGCATTCTGCTTTGAATGCATTAGTGACTTCCATTTGATTAAGTGATTTAGCACTGATCTTTCACCCTCATGCGCCTCGTCCATTTCAGGTATATCCACTGTGAACTTCTAAAGGCAAAAGACAACTTCTATCTCAATAATGCTATGTTTAATTGATTAACTGAAAAAAGGAAAGATCCCAAATTTCCTCTAGTTTCTGTCACATCAAATTACTATAACGAACTAATATACCATGCTTCAGTCCTCATACGTGGAGATTGCAATAATTTCAACAGGTACTTTTATAGATCTTTAAGCTAAAAAGGCTTGGCTAAAGTGTTTAGTATTTATTTCTTTATAGTTAAAATTAATATTATTAGGAAGGTTCGTGGAGACATTAAAAGAAAATCAAATACGAGACATGCAATCACATAGAATCTAAAATCATAGAGCATTATGGACAAGGATAAATGATGTATTGATTTTCTGTATCTCATATTTTACAACAATGTCTTTGACCAGATAGCATTCCATGTATCAAATCATCTACCATACTATCAAACTAAACATACAGAACCTACATTTGTCCACAAGAAAGCTTTCTCCTTGTAAAGTTTGATTTCTTCTTTTTTGGGAAGAAGTAGAAAAAATAAGTGTAGCAGCTTGCTCACCAAAAAAAGAGAGGAATAAGTGTAGCAGCTAGAGTGAAGAAATTATATAACCTATTCTGTTGAACACGTATCACTATAGGAAATATATGCTGCAGGAAAGCTACCCTTCATAGAAATAAAAAAGCAACATACGTAAAAAAAAGAAATTGATAAGCAAGTGCCTCCCTTACACCTCAGAAACGCCTCATAACTAGTAATGAAGCCTGCAATTTGCAAAAATTGGGACAGAATGGCGACTTTCTATCAGAACTTAAAGAGAATGCATTTATCTGTTCAAAGGTTCTAACTGGACTTCCATTCTCACAGAGGATTGTGACTCTTTATCTGCAGGTATTCTGGTTGGGCTCAAGAGATCAACTGAATCATCTTCCTCAATATTACCAAGCACCCAATTGCTGCTTCCAAATACCCGGTCTCTTATCCGCTGCTTTTCACGGTATTCCAAATAAATAACAATCAATGAACCAATTGAGAACCAAATTGCCAATGCCCAATTGAGTCCATGGACATTATCCACACCATATCTGTCTCCCAGATGCTTCATCCCACTAAAAAGTGCAGCAATGCCGACAACAAATGCACATCTACCAACAATTATGTGGAAATATTCCCAAATAACCCTTTTGAAGGGTGCCTGCTCCCCATTTGCTGGTTTTTGAGGCCTCAGCAAAGCATTTACTGGCTGTATACAAGCCAAAAATATTGCAACAAATCCAAATTTAACATGTGCTGAGCTGACATAAAATCCCCTAAGCTCAGCCACAGCAAAAAGAAGGGCAAGTAGAACAATTGCTAACCCTGAGTATTGCAGGTAAACATGAATTCGGTACCATCCATCACCCTTAAGATGTTTTAAGTATCTGGCTGCTAATATCCCTCCAGGAAGCAGGATACCCCATGCAAGAAACATCATAAAGCCATGCACAGCCAAAACAGGAAGTAAATCCTGCTCTGCTTCTGCAGACCCCCGCATCAGCAGTACATGGATAGGCCTACTACTCTTACTAGAATGCATATTCCTATTACTAAGATGGTCATTAGTCCATTTAGCACCCATTGCCCAAACAACTTTTAGTGGAGTTGTGGGATCAATAATATTGCTACATTCTAGCCTACTTCCCCGACTACAAGATGGGTCCAAGGGGCGTGTAAACTCCAAAGTAATGATGCCATTTTCGGTTTTACATCTTACATATGTCAAATTCTCATGTGTATGATGTATGCTTGAAACATCCTTTCCATCAATCCAGTAAGTGTTTACATGACCTATACCATTATCATCAATCCAACCTACGTATGCATAGCTGTTTACCATTCCCCTTCCAAATCCTATAGCCAGATAACCACTTTTTCTCTCACCACGAGCTGCAATAGATATGGAATCCTTTGACAATGTCCAGAAGAAGGTAACCTGTTGATCATCCAGATTGACACTGTTATTATACATGTCTGATAGACCCCCATCAACCACCTCTACTCTCCAACCCATTTTCTGCTCGTACAATGACTGATAGTAGATGTGGTCAGGAGTGTTCCTGTCGGGAGCCCAAACTAATTCTGTAGGACTGGCTAGAACTCCATGGGCCTCTGGACCTCCAGCATAAATAGTCTCAGTCAGATTCCTAATTGTAGCATTTGCACCGATTGGATCCGAAGTAATATAAAGTGAAACATCATGCCCGGCTTGAATTGAAAACATGACTGGCACCCCTCTTTCCACTCTCAAAACAGGAGCTTCCTTTTTGTTTATGTAAAGAACCTTTGCAGGATTTGGAGGGTTTGGGTAATGCATTGCAGGACCAGATGAAACCACCAATGGAACTTTTGCATCTGCAATGATGATATCTTGGTCCTCCTTGTCATCAGCATCCAAGGGACCAAAACAATCATTCACATGCTCCGAGACATTTAAAACCAAATGCCCGTAATTCTCAAATGGGAAACCCCCATGATTCTGAGGAAGATAGTAAGGACTAATTGTGTCAGGAGGTTTAATTGGCCCCAAAGCCCAAATAACCTTCATATTCGCCGAATAGTTCACAGGGTGATCATACTTCCCATCCACCTGAGTCAAGGGCCTCCGATATCTAACAAATGAAACCCCATCGCGCCTATGCCCATAAATCAACATTGTATTGTTCACTATATCCGAACTATCTGATCCTTTATACATTGAATCAGGACAAACCCCCTGAGCTAATCCATCACTGTTTCTCACACACTCACTATACTTAGTAATGAAAAAATCATCCACAAAAGGCAAACCATCTTCCTTAAACCCTGCCACAGCAACATCAGCCCCAATCATGAGCTCGGAATCATCAGCACTCGAGTCTGCCCATCCAAACGCCACGTAATTCATGATCCCAGTTGCAGCCTCCAATCCAATTTCAATTGAATCCTCTTCCACATTCAAAGTCCACCGCACCCTAAAGTTTTTTGACAAAACCTTGCAATTCTCAAACATAGTCGGCTCCATGTGAACAACACTCTTCTCTTTGCCACTGCTCGGTGCCGGTGCCAGAGCCGGAGAACTCGTCGTCACATTCACGAGCTCCCCCAGTACGACATGCCCGAAATCAGAGGCGGTGGGGCGATCCCACACGGCAAGGACCTGGATCATACTCCAGGTAACATTGCTCATCAAGCGCACCACAAAGCTTGAATTCTTGTATGTTTGGTTCAATTTATCATCGGAAACAATGAACCCACTCGTGATGTTATCGAAATCGGGAGCCAGAGCACCCCACCAGTGCACATCGGAACCAGGAAGCATGTCGAATTGGGAAACCCTAAAGGAGCAATCGTCGATGATTTTCAGATAACCTCGGAGCTGGTGTTGAACCATTTTGAACTCGGACTCCGAATCCACGATGTGGCTGACCCGAGTGCAGTTCGGAGCAGGATCCGCATACCCGAAGAACAAGAAATGGAGGAGGAACGCTAGGAAGAAGGATTTGCGAAGCATGAGGGTGAAATCGTCGCAGTCTTCCGTATCGTTTCCGTGGATCCGAATCAGTGCTACTTCTTGTCAACTGTGACGGATCCGAGGTGGCGGTGATTGGAGAAACGCCGTCTATGGCGGCGGAGAAGGAGGAAACGTGAGTTCCACGGCGGGGATTGAAGAGAAGTGCAGTATTGTTTGCTTTCTTTTTAAAAAATAGTTTGATCTCTGCGCGTTTTGTTGGGTTTTAGGTTAGGATGCGCGGAGACAACTTTCTGTTATTCGGGTGGAGACGTCAAGAATGTTTAAATTGTTTTGATAATTGATAAATAAAATGGTTTTCTATCAGTGTCGCATTAATCATCCTCGTTCGCATCTCATAGAAAAAATGATAAATCTAAAAGAGTTGACCTTGGGAAGAATATACGTGGATCTATATTAATTATTATCTCCACAAACCAACACAACACAAGATGCTTGGACTCTCGACATCCACTTGGTCGGGGTACTGGGTCATTGTTCGGACTGATTGATCCAGATATATATAAATATATAAAAATATATATAAATATGAACATATAAATTCAATTATATTCTCCCTATCTAAAATGAATTAAACAAGATTCACTAAATAAGCTAAAAAATATGAAGCATAAATAAATAAAAATACATTTTAGGGTTCGCTTTTTCTACAGTCAATGTAGATAACTTATCTACATTGATCTCAAAACGACGTCGTTTCAAAACGACGTCGTTTTGAGGCAAAAATCAAGGTATTTTTGTAATTATAATTTATTTCAAGATTATAATAGTCTTTTTCATTATAATTTTTTAATTTTTTAACTCAAAACGATGTCGTTTTAGGAGCAAATGTAGATAACTTATCTATATTCACTTTAGAGACATTAAACCCTACATTTAATTACTATGTCAATTTAAATTGACATTCAGAATTCCCATAAACATACTTCTCAATGACATTGAACTCATATTTTTCAAATTCAACTACATTAAAATACATATGTCACATTCTCTAATTTATTATTCCACAAATTGCTTTACTATTGGAAACTAAGAGATCATTGTAGAATAGTATACTAGCAAAAAAAATTACAAAAAGTTTTTAAAATGAGTTTTACATTTTTTTTATAAGATGAAACAATTTTGGTTATTTTTTTTTTAAATGCATGACCCGACCGGGTCACTGGGTCGCCGGGTCACCAGGTTTGGCCAATTTTGTCCGGGTTTTGACCGGGTTTGACTGGGTCGATGCATGACCGGTCTGATGACCGGTTCACCGGGTTCCGGGTCAACCCGGTCGGGTCGGGCTGGGTTTTACAACAATGATATAGAGTATATATTAATTTCTCTAAATATTTTTAACTGTACAATCTCATACATACACAGCCCCCTCTCATTCAGGTATTGATTCGATTCATCTATATACCTTTTCAACTAGAAGTCTGCTAGGAGCCGCTCCTTGTCTTCTCTCTTGTGCATCAGCAATCACTCCCCCTCAGAATATTACATATATTTTATACAATATTTAATGATTTAATATTTCTCATGTTGCGGGAGATAAATTTATCTCTTATACATACATAAAAATATGCGGGATATATACGGCCCATGTGAGGAGAAAAGAGAGAAAAAAAAAATGTATCTGATACACTTGTATATGTGAGTAAGAGATCATTTATCCCTACGACATCAGAAACAATAAATCCAATATTTAAATTGAGATTTAAGCTTAAAAAAGTTAATTAGGTAGAATACATTAGACTTTTAGCTTTTAGCTTTTTTTTTTCATTATAAAGTAGGGCTGGCAATATGGGCCAGCCCGCCCCGGCCCGCCGCTAGCCCGCCCAAAATGGGCTGGCCCGCCCCGGCCCGTTTTGACAAAATGGGTTGAATTGAGTAACCCGGCCTGTTTTATGAGTGGGCTGGCGGGCTACGGGCCAGCCCGCCTAAAATAAAAAAAATAAAAAAATAAAATACAAAAAATTAAATTCTGCATAAAATCACATAAAAAAATCTGCATAAAAGCATACAAAAATCTGTATAAAATCCTAATGTGCTTATGAAACCAAGAAGATCAGTGTTTAATAATCTGCATATAAATATGCATCTTTCAATCCAAAAATAATAATAAAAAAATAAAATCATATCAGGATAAAATAGAATAACAAAACAAGTAACAAAGTGTTGTATGAGCAGTCCACAACAATTCAAAAAAGCCACTTGCAAGCAGAGAAATCTAAGATACGGAGCTACATAACAATTGGGTAACCTAAAAAAAATGACTTGGCGGGCTAGCCCGCCCCGTGGCGGGCTGACCCATATGGGCTGGCGGATTTGGCGGGGCGGGTTTGGCGGGCTGGTGGGTTGAAAGACTCAACCCAGCCCACCCCATTTGGCAGGCGGGGCGGGCCAGCCCGGCGGGCTCAGCCCATTTTGCCGGCCCTATTATAAAGATAGAATTTTTCATTATAAGAGATTTTTTCAAAATCTGTTTGGCCTAACTCTTGCTTATAAGTAGATTCTAGCTTGAAAGAGAGAGAATCCAAACAGATACTAAAGAAATTTTTCTCTTTTTGGGAGAAACTTTGTTTTAACCTATATTAAATAATCTTGAAATGCTTTTAAAATGCATCTCACAACGACTTAGATTATGTTTAGAAACGCTTGTTTTTAGAAAAATAATAATTTTTTTTAAAAAAATTGTCACAAAGTTGTTTAAAAAATTAATTAAAGACATGCAGTTAGAGCCTGTTTGAATTTTTTTTTTAAGCTAAAAATTACTTTTAAGTTAAAGTTAAAAAAAGAAGCTAAACGCTATTTAGAGATTACATAAAATTATTAGCTTAAAAACACACATTTTAAGAAAAACCTCTCTCTCTCAATCTCTCTTCTTTAAAAGAAACATAATTTAAAACAAAACTGATAAGATCTTAAAAAAAGTTCCTCCTAAAAATTTTTGATTTTTGATTTTTTTCATTATAAAAAAAACTTTTCAGTATAATTTTTTTTTCACAAAATCTATTTGATTTAACTTATATTTATAAATAACTTTTAGCTTAAAAATAAAAATAAAAATCCAAACTTGCATATCATAACGACTTTAAACACGTGTATGATGTATGCTTGAAGCTTCGGTGGCTTAAATAGGGACAATTAGGACTTTTTAAATCTTTCCGGTGTCTCTTTATTTCGCAAAGTTCAAACTTAGTTGAGGACTTCCCCCTCCTTGTTACAAAAAGAAAAGGGCGAAAATTGTAATATAACTGTTAAACAACAATTTTAAACTAAAATACCCACTTTGATATAGTATTAACAACCTTTTTTTTTTCCCCAAAATAAGTACAAGAATGAAAAACCAACAAACAACTAAAAAAGCTGCATAACATTGTTTTTACTAGATTTGTAAAAACACTATGACTTTTTTTTTTCTTATGAGTAAAAAGAGAAAACATTTCCACAAACTAAATGCCAATGATAAATGATAATTTATCATTTATCATTCTTCTTTATAAAGAATCTTGATGATGTGAAATAGTTTTTCAAGTTTGCTAACAAACTGCACAATAGTTGTAAAATGATTCTTTCTAAAGTCATTTTATTAAACGAGCTTTTATACAAGTTAAAGCCTGATTCTAACAACTAATTTTAGACATGTAAGGTCAGGCCTTCACGAGCCGAGCCAAAGGCTCCTGATTTGTTTACCATCCCTAGACATGAGGTGTCGAGATACCGTTTTTCGATAAATATAACAATTGAAGCATTTTGCATTATCAGAATTATTCATGACACGCCCGTCCCACTCCCTCCCTCCCTTTCTTGATAATTAAATTATTATAGTCTCATGAACACACATTAATCGAGAATTTGCTTATAGAATACAACGATTACATTTTCCAATCAATACATTAACTTCTCCTAGAAATAGAATAATGTTTTAGTTTGAAGAAGTATCATAACTATGCAATACAAAAAAAAAAATAGTATCATAACTATTGAAACCAACTATTTAGCTTGGGAAACTGTAAAGCTTTAATTAGCTAGTCAATTGCCTGGGTATGATTTGTATTCTCCATATATAAACGTTGCATTATTGATTTTTTCTTTCTTTCTCCAAACTCCAAAGCCAGTAATTAATATAAGAATCTTTGTATTTTTTGAGTGTTCATTCATTCACTAAAGCCACTACAACATGTTTCCGCTTCTATAACAACAATCATAATGTTTTGGTTGTTTTCAACCTTCACCTCCCCATGCATTTTTTTTTATGGGAAATAGAAGTATAATATTTAGGAAAGTGTTTAGGTAATGTTATAGAGATAGAAATGGTAGGACCTACACTTGTTTATTTTTTTAGTTTTTGAAAACAAGTGCGAGTCCCACCATCTCTATCTCTATAACATTACCTAAACACTTTCCTACAACATTATACTTCTTTTTCCCTTTTTTTATTTTCAAAAATTTGTATAGAAAATGGTTAAAACCCAAAACAACATTGTTTTCACCATTTTTATACAAATATATATAGCAAAGATAATGTAGTATTTTTTTTTAATTATTAGCAAACGTAAAGTTGTTTCTTCATGACTGAAAGGTCATGGGTTCGGGTTCGAATCTTTGCAATTTTGCAAGGATAAGGCAGACATAATAGAAAACTCTCATACCATTTGATAAGAGCCTTGGGATACACTACCCCAAAAGCTAGATCAAAAGGTGAGTGCCCAAAGCCTTATAAATCTTACATTAATTACCCATACAATCAATGTGGGACTTCAAGTCTCATATCTCCCAAAGGGGTCCAAACAATTCAACTATGGTTTATCAATATAACGTGAAAGAAAATGCTTGTTCAACATATTAGATGATAGCAGATGATATGTAAAAAGTGTATTAAACTAGCATCAATGCATCGAGTCTCTAATATGGAAGGAAATTGCGTCCATGCAATTAGGGATTGTTCGTGGGTGGAGGAAATTTGGACCCGGTTAGACAGACCAGAAATGTTGGACAGGTTCTTTTCTCAATCTATTCGTTCATGGTTAGACTCTAATTTATGCAACAACTTGAGTACTAATGTGGAGAAAAATTGGAGTCTCATTTTTGGTACTACATGCTGGCTAATATGGAAGGAAAGGAATAATATGATTGTAAAGAACTTTGGGATACACCACCCCAAAAGCTAGCTCAAGGGGTGAGAGTGTCCAATGCCTTATAAACTCCACATTAGTTGCACATACAACCAATGTGGGACTATATATCTCAACACGCCCCCTCACATAAGAGCTCATTGGGCTTGAAGAGTGGACAATGCAACAGGCCCAGCCTACCTGTGCTAAGAAACGCCACAAGAGAAAGTAGGGGGCGGCGAGGCTTTGATACCATGTAAAGAACCTTGAAGTCACCACCCCAAAAGCTAGCTCAAAGGGTGGGAGTGCCCAAGTCCTTATAAACTCCACATTAGTTGCTCATACACCCAATGTGGGACTATGGGTGCGCATGACAACTTTCCCGGAATCAATTTTTTTTTTAATTTATGTTCCCGGGAACAGAAATGGATAGAAAACTCGTTTGGTAAAACCGATTTATTTTTTTATTCCTGGGATAAACCGGATAAATTTTGTGCTGGGGAACAGAAAAAAGAATCAGAAAATTTCTGCTTTTGTGTTCGCGGGCACAAAATGAGAAACACTTATCTCTCTTAACCACTCACCCTTTCAACCATCATCACCACCACCATCATCATCTCAACACGACCACCGCCACCATCACCACCAGCTCCACCCATCACTACCATCGTGCCACCATCACCACCACCACCACCACTATCACCACTACCGCCATCAACCACCAACATCACGATCATCGCAACCACTGTCGCCACCATCGCCATCACCACGCCACTGCCACTGCCACCATCGCCACCACTACCACCACCACCACAATGCCACTGCTACCATCACCATCACTGTCACAATCACCATTATCATTGCTCGGCCACCACCGACACTGCCGCCGCCACCAACCACCACCACATCGTCACAGCCACTATCGTCACCACCACCGCCAACACACCACTGTCACCTACCGCCACTGCCACCGCCACCACTACCACCACCTTCATGATGCCATCACAACCACCACCACCATGCCACCGCTACCATTGTTGCCGCCACCAACCACCATCCCCACCACAATTGTCGCAGCCATTGCCGTCACTTCCACCACCACTACTGTCGTCGCCGCCACCATTACCACCGCCATCGCTGCAGCCACTGCTGTCACAACCACCACCACTATCGTCACCATGTCACTGCCGCCACCACCGCTGTACCGCCGCCACTATCACCACCATGCCACCCCTGCCGCCACCACCACCACAACCAGACCATATGAAAAGGAAAGTGATGATCCGAAATTTTTTTATATTTAATAGGAATTATTTTTTATTATATTATTTGTTATGTTGTCAAACACAATTCTCATTCTTGGAATAAAAATAGGACGTGTTATCAAACATATTTTTTTTCTCAGAAACTGTTCAAGATATAGAAATAGAAAAGAATTGTTTCTTTTCAGAAACAATGCTAGGGAATAGAATGGTTGTCATGCACACCCTATATATCTCAACATAAGAAACTCCACATGAGAAAGTGGGGGGCGGCGAGGCTTTGATATCATGTAAAGAACCTTGGGATACACTACCCCAAAAGCTAGCTCAAAGGGTGGGAGTGCCCAAGGCCTTATAAACTCCACATTAGTTGGTACATTCAACCAATGTGGGACTATACATCTCAACATGCCCCCTCACACAAGAGCCCATTAGGCTTGAAGAGTGGACAATGCAACAGGCCCATCCTACCTGTGTTAAGAAACGTCACAAGAGAAAGTTGGGACTGCGAGGCTTTGATACCATGTAAAGAACCTTGGGATACACCCCAAAAGTTAGCTCAAAGGGTGGGAGTGCCCAAGTCCTTATAAACTCCACATTAGTTGCTCATACAACCAATGTGGGACTATATATATCAACAATGATATTCAAGGATGCGCGTACTACAGTGGAGGCTATGCTTCACAGAATCAATATTCATGTAATAAACACCTTGTTAGCAGCTAACCTCCTTCGTTTTGGGGAAAATTACCCTAAAGTATACCCAGAGAATTTTTTTGAAATAAGCAATTTTCTTTATATGTATATCAGTTATCAGAACATCATTCTGTTTCATGTCCTTATTTTTGTACATTTTTTTTTGGAAAAAATATTTGTCATTTTAAAGGATATAACTTTGTGTCATTTTAAATCATAATTGTTGATTTCAATCAACGGTTAGAATTTATTGGGTTAAATTTATTAATTAATTAGTAATTCGCAATAAAACCCAATAAATCCTAACCGTTGATTGACAGAAATTAACGGTTATGATGTAAAATGACACAAAGTTATATCTTTAAAAGGACAAATTTTTTTCTTTTTTTTTTTTACATTTTGAAAACCATGAGAAAAAAATAATATTTAATAACAATTTTTTTTATTTCTTATGAGAGATGATGTATATTAATAAATAATATATATAACAAAATAGTGTTATTTAAAGCTATTAACAAATTTTACTATACGTGTCTTTAATAAATAAAGTGCTAGAGAAAAAAAACAGAAAATAATATTTTATTTTCATCAATTCGTGATCCTAAACTACCTGTCAAATCTTTCTTTAGAGGGTTCGCTTTTCTGCAGTAAGCCCAATACTACGTAGTTTTGGGGCAAAAATCATGGGATTTTTATAATTTTAATTTATTTCAGAGTTATTATAGTCTTTATAATTATAATTTTTTAATCTTTCAATCCCAAAACAATATCGTTTTAGGAGTAAATGCAGATAACTTAGCTGCAGTAACTGTAGAAATATTTTTTTGTTCTTTAAATTGATATTGTTTCATTATATATAAAACGAAAATTTGGTTTGAGGGTTTTAGTTTCCCTTTTATTTTTCCACCATTTTTTTTTTTATTTTTAATACAAAATCACACCTTTTTGAGCTAAGAAAAATTGTGACTTTTCTGGGTTGTTTTGTGATGAAAATCGCTCACAAATCTGCTATTTTTTAGCTTTGACCCATGACCGAACCCGATTTCGAGCGGGTCAACCTGCCAAAGGAAGAAGAAAACACTGCAATAGAAATTTCAAAAAATCCTAATGGTTAGGATGAGATTGTGAGAGTCTCAAGAAATCCTAAGGGTTAGAATGAGATTATGAGAGGGACATCCTATCAATAGAAAATCCAGTAAAATCGTCAGATTTTTGAATACCACAAGATTGTTTTTTTTTTTTTTTTTTAAATCATAATTGAATACCAACGGATCGTATTTGGACAGACTCTAAAATAATTTTTTAAAATACTAATCGAATATCAAATGATTTTTTTTAATCCTTTAAAATCCTAATTGAATATCAATGGATTTTTTTGTTCAAAAATAATCCATTAAAATCCTTTGAAATTTCAATCCAATACCCCCCTTGAAAATATAAACATATACATATATAGTTTGAAAATTGAAATACTTTCTTCGTTTAATAACAAAAATGAGTAAAACAATTATTGCTTTTTAATGAATTTTGTAGCTTAATTCATCTTAGTGAACTTCTACAACGATTTTTCTATGAAATTTCTAATTAAATGACATGATGAGCTTATATCTGAATGAACGGTGTCAAATTTGTCAAAATTCTTAACCTTCTTCAAAATCCCAGCTTCATAATATTGTCTAAAGATATCATTAGGAGCCATTGCCCATTTGGATCCCGTAATTCCTTAATCTGTTGAGCACATCTTTTCCCCAAACTTCCTCCCAAATCAACATTTGGACACCGCCATAAGTCAAGATATTCAATGTGAGGACAACCATCAAGAATGGCAAGCAAGCCAACATTAGTCAACCTGTTTTTAGACAGCTCCAGATGGCGTAACTCAGGCATGGTTCTAGCAATAGCAAATGCCTCCTTATCAGAGTCAAGGGAGGCAGCATTGAATTTCAAGGATTTTAAAAGTGGGCAACGTTGTCCAATTGCTTGTAGACCACGCCTGCGTATGTAACAGCCGGAAATGTCAAGCTCCTCTAACATCGGAAGCTTTTTAGCAACTTCACTCAATACTCTATCCGATATGCCAGAGCAATCTGCAAAACGTAGCCGTCGTAGATGATATGTACTGTACGATGGCAAGATACAAAAATATTTTCAGCCATACTTACATGCATATATAAACACACAACTTCACTTAATATTTATACACACCGCTAAGTATCTCCCAATCAACAGCCGAAAACTCTTCCTTTCGAGAAGTAGAAAAAATTATTGAAGTGGATTTTGAACAAAACTTTTTTTTTTATACACACTGCCAGGTAGGTATCGAACCATTATCAGTATGCTCAAGGGACTAACCAGGTTTGTTGGTGAATTGTAAGTCTTAACATACATCAAATATAAGTTTAAAAAACAGAAACTTAACTATTCGAAAAGCCAACGAAAACTAACAAATTGAAATATTTGAACGGAACAACAAACAACAAGAAACCAGAAACAAAACTTAAGAACTTACGAATAGGCGATGTACTCGAGCAGATCATCGTTACCAAAACGCTCGACATTAATATCAAACAATTGGCCACAGCTGCGGTTGATTGCTATGCGACACATAGTCCTCAAATGGAAGTGGGAGATGCAGGGATAGTCCTCAATCCGCATGTCAATGGTGCGCCACATAAGAGAATCAAAACAGATGCTCCTCCACTCAGTGCACACCAACTGAGCGTTCATCAGGATTTCGATTACTCCAAGCTTCTGGAGAATTTTTGCAGTAACATCCGGCGGAAGATCCAGCCAATCCCTGGTTTTGGATTTCGATGAAAATGCTGAGAAAATGATTTTCCATAACAACCTCAAAAGGATTTTTGGTTTAAGAAGACCTTTGAATATAATTAAGAACACCGTCAGAATTTGTTTCATAGAGGCTCAAAGAATTGATACTTGGATAAAAAAAACGACTCGCGTGTAAGAGATAATTAAGGTTTGTAAAAAGAAAAAATTAGGGGATGTATTGGGTTGAAATTTCAAAGAATTTTACTGGATTATTTTTGGACAAAAAGAATTTTAATGGATTATTTTTGGACAAAAAAATCTATTGTTATTCAATTGAGATTTTAAAAGATTATTTTAGAGTCCGTTTCCAGATCCGTTGTATTCAATCAGAATTTTAAACAAAGGTAACAATGTGGTATTTAAAAATCTTAAGATTTTAATGAATTTTCTATTGATGTGAATTTCGTGAGACATTTTAGTGAAAAATTTAAATAGAATATTTCTCTCACAATCTCACACTAGCCCCCTTGAGATTTCTTTATTGCAGTGTCTTCTTCTTCCTTTGGTGGGTCAACCCGCTCAAAATCGTCATAAGAGCTGCGTCAAAACTCAAAAACAACATATTTTTGATCAATTTTCATCACAAACAATCCGAAACCAATAACCCAACAGGATTTGGATATGAAATTCATCTTAAAAAAAAAAAAAGATTTTGGAGCAATTTATGAAAGTTTAAAAACGATTTCTCAAGCTATTGGTCATATTTTTTTTGGTACGAAAATGTGTGCTTTTTATATTAAAAACAAGATAAAACAGTGGAAAAATAACGGGGAACAAAAACCCTCCAAACCAATTTTTATTTTACATCAATGAAACAAAATCAATTTAAAGAAAGATGAAAACTTTCATAATATGAATCCTTTGTTTCATAATAGTACATTAATGAACGAAATTCCTTCTTATAGGAAACGATTTCTAACAATTTTTGTGTCAATAGATCACTGAAAACCTGTTTTTCAAAACTTCCGAAGCAATTTAAGATTTCAATGTATCGATTGAAATAATTTGAAATTTTTTCTAAACTTTAATGTAATAAAATCCAGAAATTCAGATTCGAATTTTTTTTGGAATACATAATAAAAACATGCATATGATATATGATTAGAAAACTCATATCACGTGGAACAAAAATCTCAAAGTTTACAAGATCAATTGCAAAAAATTCCTAACGAAAATTTATCATGAATTTTACTAATTGAGAAAATTATATTACATTTTTCTTTTTTTATTAATATCATTGCATTTTTTTGTTAACTTTTTTTATTCCCTCTTGTAATTTTAAATATTTGTTAAAAATTCATATGATTTTTTAAAATCTTATAAATTCGTATTGTTCTTTCAAATCTTATAAATTCTATTAAAATCCTTTAAAATTCAATCTTATAAAATCCTGTTTGAAAAAGAAGTCTTTAAAATCTCTCTAATTTTGAATAGTCTTTCAAAATTTATAAGATTTTTTATCTCAAAAAAGTGTTTTAAAATCTTAATCCAATATACCACTAAGATTTTTATTCAATAATTCAAAACGATAAGATTTAGAAAAAAAAATATTTTTTACTTTTTTAATATTATTTAAAATTTATTAAAAACATCTTTTGTTTTTTATTTTAAACTCTAAATTAATATTATTTTGGATTATAGGAAATATTTCTTGAGTCAAACAACATTAATCTCATTTTAATAAATTTGTAATAAAAAATGAACGGATAGTCTTTTTATCACGCCTTCCTATTCATCACATGATCACATCCAAGCCCGGATTCGGCCACAGGAAATGATTTACCAATTCTGCGCCTTACCCAATGCTAACCACTCGATTTAACAGTGATTCGTGGTGTAAATGGACTAATTTGATCTAGAGAAGTCTATAGCCTTAAATTAAATTAAATCAGACTTAATTTTTTATAAATAGTGAAATAAAATAAATTTAGACTTTAAAAAATTTATTTCGAAAATAGGTTAAGTTTTTTTTTTGTACATATTACACTTATATCATATTATTTATTTTAAATAAAATAAATAAAATTTTGATTTTAATAATTTTAAATAATAAAGTAATATTATTTTAGTTATTCTTTCAAGCCTAATCAAAACTTTTATTTTTATGGTAAACAAAGCTTTTATTTTTTAAATATAAGTCAGACAAGACTTGTAATTTGGGACCTATATATACAGGTTAACAGGCTAAATCAAACCTAATATTTTTTACACAAACTTGACCTGTTTAAACCAAAGTTTAGTGTAGACTATTTACACCTCTATAGTGATTTACCAATTTTTGACTGACCCATTTTATTTACAAATCTTCGAGAATGGGAAATAAAACGAAATTAATTAAAATATAATTTTTGTATTTATTAGTACAAATAAAGATAAAATATTAAAATATTTCAACAAAACGTTATATTTTTTTCAATAGGATTTTGATGAAGATATTTTGCAGAAATACTTTAAGATTTCATTCTCTATACTAACTAATAAATAAATGAAAATGAATACTGTTATGCTATGTAGCACCGATACTGACACGGGACACGTCACGATACGACACTCCGACACGTTAATTCTAAAAAATATTAGATTTCGACACGTTAGGACACGTCTTGATATTAAATAATATTTTTAATTTATATAGTGTATATTATATCTAATATTCAATAATTTAGCAAAAAAATGAATCTAAACTTATAATATTCATAAATTTTGCAAACAAACATAAGATATCCCAAATATTTATATTAAATTCAATAAAATGGTAATCGTAATCCAACAAATCTAATAGTTGGAACTAAAAACTCAATGCAACGCAACCTCTAAATCTTTTTTGAATTTCTATAATGCGTGTCGGAGTGTCGGGGAGTGTCGGAGTGTCCGAGAGTGTCGGAAAGTGTTGGACACGACACGTCAGGGTCTTTGAAGTGTCGGTGCTTCATAGCTCTTATGTAACAATATAATGATAAATCATCAGTGATAATTTTATAATTACTTATCACAATAATTTTATCTCTTTTATATTAATATTATTGATTTAGCTTTGTATGATTATAATTCTCTCATATAATCATTGACATTGGCATAATAAATAACAAATGGGAGAATAAACTCTCTAAATAAATACAAAATGAAAGTTTGATTTCGTTTTATTATTCCCACTTTCAAAGATTTGTGAGAATAATAATGTCATCATCTTAACAATTTCACACAAATCTAATATAAACTGAAAACAGAAACAAAACATTTTTATAAAATATATGCAATACAACGGAAGAAAAAGCTTTAGAACATATATGTAATAAAAGGATAAAGTGTGTGTCATTTTAAAGTTTGCAAAGTTGTGTCATTTTAAGTGAGAAAGAGATAGATAGAAGAGAAGAGAAAGTAGACAAAATAATAATAATTAAAGGTGTGGGTCTCACATATTGATGAATATAAAACGATATAAGATATGTGATCTAAAATGATAAACATTTTTTTCCTTAATAAAAATGAAATAGCTAGCCAACGACGCAAGCACTCGATGAGCTTATCAAGATTGAGGCTGGACGTCGCCAACACATACAAAATTCAATAAAACAGCAACTAAGAGAAGCAACTAAATAATTCACTTCACATGTTCTAATTACACTGTCAAATTTATCAAAATTCATAAGCATCTTCAACACTATTTTCGATTAACGTAAAGGCTAAATCATAATAGAAGCCTACATCATCTTCATCCAAATCGGAATCAATTCTGAGGTCAACTGCAGGAACAGTATATGGAAGCCGTAAATCCCTGATCTGTTCTTCACATCTTTTCCCCAAACTACATCGCAAATCAAGGTTAAAACATCGACGTAAGTTAAGAGATTCGAGGCGAGGACAACCATCAAGAATAGCAACCAAGCCATCATTAGTAAGCTGATTTCCATTAAGTTCGAGATGACGTAACTCAGGCATGGTTTTCGCAATAGCAAGTGCCTCATTATCACGGTCTTGCATGAATCGATGTCTGTAAGCCCTATTGAATTTCAAGGATTTTAAAAGCGGGCAACTCTGGCCAATAGCTTCCAGAGCAACAGTAGAATTACTGCCGAAAGAATTGTCAAGCTCCTCTAACAAAGGAAGCTTTTTCGCAGCTTCACTCATTACTTGATCCGATATCCCATAGCAAATCACAAGACGTAGGCGTCGGAGATGTGGTGTGCTGTTTTATCGGATAAATATATGATAACAATTGACACAAACACCTTACATAAGTTTAAATAACAGAACCTTAAAAATTCGAAAAGTAAAAAAGAGTAGGCCCGTTTGGATGAGCTTTTTTTGTTCAAGAGTTGCTTTTTTCAATAAAAAAAAGCACTTCTCGTTTTTAGTTCGTTTGGATGTCTGCTTTTAAAAAAAAAAATTACAAAAAAAGCCAAAAACTTACTTTTTTCAGAAGCTAAAAATTTTAACTTCTAAAAAAAACAGAAGTCAAAAGCTAAATATTTTTTTCAAAATCTAAATATTTTTATAAAAATATAAATAGCTTTAACTTTTGTAAAAAATACTTTTAAAATAAGAAAGTGATAAAAGTTACTTTTTCTAAAAACTTAAACAAACGAACTTCTAAATACCTTTTTAAGTCTCAAACAAAAAAAACACTGTCTCCTTAGTTACAAAAAAAATTAGTCTGGATGTCTTTAGGATAAAAAATTCAAAGTGAACTTATTTAGTTGAAATCATGATCTCACAAATTTAATAAAGACCCACACCAGACAACTAATTTTTTTTATAAGGGACTAGAGTGAGTATCAAATTTTTTGTTATAGACCAAAAAAATATTTACTCCAAAAAAAAAAATTAACATTTTAAGCAAACGGCAAATTAAGAACAAGAAACGAGATATAAAATCTAGAACTTACGAATTCACAATGTACTTGAGCAGATCATTGCCAGCGAAACGCTCGAGAGTAATATCAACTAACTGGCCACAGCTCCGGTCGATTGCGAGGCGACACATAAACGTCATAACATTAATGTAGTTTAAGTAATCAAGACCCTTAATCCGCATGTCAATGATACGCCACATGCCAGGGTCTTCGCAGATTCTCCACCATTTAGTGCACACAAACTGAGCCCTAAAAAGGATTTCGATAACTCCAAGTTTCAGCAGAATCATTGACGTAACATCGGGCGGAAGATTCAGCCAATTCCGGGTTTCGAGTTCAGGGGAATCAGGTAGCGTGTTGCAAGATGAAGATGATGACATTGTTAGAGAGAAACTGATTTTCCCGGAAAATGCTTTATGGGAATTTATAAGATGGATGCCATGCTTGCTTGACTCCTATCTCTTCTTCGTAAAGCACATCTTCCTACTTAATTATTATCGTAACTCTCCAAAATATACACGATAATCAAGGCATCATGCATGCCCAGAACACAGAAGACAGAGCGATCACGTTTTAAGTAATACATCACTCCTTTAGTTAGGAAGAGATTCATGCAATGCCTAGGAAATTGTGTAATGTATTGTGGGAAGTATCACCACTATAGAAACTAGCTAGCCAGCCTGGGAAATAGTAAATAGCTAGCCAATTGTTTTCTCTAATTTGCATTCTCAATACACATTGATTTTTTCTTCCGCTGACAATGGAATTTTTATTTTTATTTTTTTATTATATCCTGACTTAATTAAAACTTTTCGTACATTTCTAAATATGTATTTAGTGAAAATTAAATCCATGTTTATTTTCTATTTACTCAGCCTATATTGTCAACTGAACTTTACATTTTGGGTACATCTTTGAATTTTTGAATACTTATTCATTCACCAAATCTCATTCAAAGAAAGGATTAAGGGGTCTGATCTCAATGAACAAGGAGGCTTCATGCACCACAAGGAGGACAGTTTCAACGAGTCCCGTTTCAGCACTTTTTTAGTTGGGCCGAATTATAAGGTATCAATTCCTTAAAAGAATATAACTTATGAAGTCACAATAGACACTTTTAATGGAAAACTAAGGGCTAGTTTGGTGGTCAGAGAAGATGACATAGGATAGACGTTCATATCCTTCTCTTACTGTAAATCAACAAAATACAATAGGATAAATTATTCATTATAAAACTTATGAATTGTTAGAGAAATCTAATATAAAACCATTAAAGTATCCTATGTGTAACTCATCTCGTTTTAATGGAAAACTAAGGCCAGTTTAGTGCATGCACCATATGATCATCCAAAAAGTGTTATATTAGCTCCAATATAGTTAGTTACTTTCTAATGGATGTTTTTAATTATTAATGTGAAACTATATTGTTTAATTATAACTCAAGCGGCATGAGATCTTTTAAGAGGCTACTTGATCCTACGATTGAAATTCTCCTACAAGTCATTTTGTTCCACATTAGTCTACCCTCTCTCTCCTCAAATCATATCTTAAATATGTTAAGTTAAGAAAATGTTTATCTAGATCAATATAAACGTTCAGATGATCTCATAAAATAAATTTAGCAAAAGATTAGATTAAAAATATAAAAATAAAGGTACTTTTTATTAACCAAGTGCATATCATATTTATGCAATAAAGAAGCTAGTCTTTCTCTGGGTTACTTGGGTCATTGACTCTATTAAATTGCAAAAACTTGTCTCGGTTTACTTTAGTTTTTTAATTTTTTTCAAAACAAAAACAAAAATCATTTTCTCAAAAAAGATAAAAAAAAATTATATTGCATTAGCATGGTTCGAACCTTACACCTTTACAACGAGAACAGCGGGAAAGACATGACTTAATTTTGAGACAAGCATATAACATCTGTTAACGACTATGGCACTCTTGCCCCTGCAAATAGAAAGCAAAACAAGCACGAAGTCTGACTGACTGACTGAGCCATCCAAAAATTTGAGGTTACTCAACCAAACCGCTTAAGATATTGGTGGCTTCCTGGCCCTGCTTCCTCATTTCTGTTGTTTGTATTTGCTATGCTTTGGTAGTGTTCCGATTCCAACAAAAAAGTTGAGCTCGGCTCTTCCTCCATTCCGCAGATATAGTAAGTTTTCTTTCTTTCCCCGTTTCTATTGAGTAAATATATAATCAGTATATTACATAAACAACTAATTATACACACAAGGATAGTGATTGTCATGGAGGAGTGTGACTAACTTACAACTCCTCGGATTGATTGTTTGTGTTGGTATTTGTAAGTCCCACATGGTGTGGAATATAACAAAAATCATTGTATTTAAAACCTTTAACAGGCATGTCGGTACACCGAGTTGAGTAGCGCCAACTTGTAACCCATGTGGGGGCAATGAGATGATGGGACATGGTTATGGATACACTGGGTTGGGTGAGATGCTGCATTGTGCTGGCCTGCCCACTCCAAGTTGAGAGTTGTCTACGGGTCCTGAGCGAAGGCTCAGGTCTCTTTGCTTCTAAACCGGAGGGCAGCGCGTGAGGCTGGCTTCACAGAGCAGCGAACACCTCCGGCTCCTGACAGTGGAGGGATTACAGGCTGCTGCACATCTGATCCATATGCCTTGTGAGCCTAGCTCATTGAACCATCATTTTTTTTTTTGCTTCTCTTCTTGCACTATGTGTGAAGTAATTTCCATAGAAAAATTTTCTTACGTGTCCCTAGACGAATTGAATGCACATTGGATTTCGACTGCTTCTCGAGAATCGTTGGCGTAACTTCGCGTGGAAGATCCAGCAAATTCATGGTTTCAGGTTCTTGAAAAGAGAGTCGAGGTTTCAAAGACGTCGACGACGACATTAAAAGTCCTGAGATCCATTGTGAAATATATATTACGTCATTTATGGTTTATACATATAATTACCTAAGTGCTACTTTTAACGTTAATTTATTGGGTTATATGTATACATCTATTAGTGTTCTTACACTTCTGTAATGTTTAAAAAAAAAACTTTATCAAATATACATATTTATTTATATAATATATATAGTTATTATTATTTGCCTATACAAAAAACAATTCATACACTATAACATGCTATATCTGAAACTTAACTGACATGTAATAATACCTAAAACTATTGTTTTGTCGTTATTTATTAAAAGTAAAAGATAAATAAATATTACATAATATATATATTACAAACATATGGTAGAAACAATATACATATGGCAGAGTGACACACGTAGAATAGGAAGATAAAGATGACATGTAGATATTTTTTAAAGCAATGATGTTTAGTTAAGTATTCATTAGATTCTAATTATGTAATAATTACAATTAGTCATATATATATATATATATATATATATATATATATATATATATATATATATCTTCACCCAGCGGAAAAGGAAGAGCACAGATGGAGGTTACCAAAGAAAGAGAGGAAGAGCACAGATGGTCTAAAACAAAAGAAACAATACGAAAGTAAAATGAAGAAAAAAGAACCCGAGAAAGGGAAGAGTAGAAAAGAAGAGAGAAAAGAGGCAAATAGATACAAGAAAAAAAAAATCAAGAAAAGGAATTAAGGGAAATCGAAGGAATGTAATATTGAGAGATAAAAATATTCTCTCATTTTTCTTCTTATCATTATTTTTTTAAAGTTGAATTTGTAGAAAATTGTTATAATATTGTTACTCTGCCAAATTCTTTTCTTAAATTTTTTTACATTCGTACCTTTAATTTTATTTTTATTTAGTTCTGAATTTACTTCTTTTAAAATTGATTGTTTGATTGATGAATTTTTTGGTACTAAAAGAATATTAAGAGAATGTGTAAATTTTATGTTTTGTCCTCACATATATGTACTTGACCGAGAACCATGTATCAAGTAACTAAGTAAAATTTGCTGTATAAATCAATATTTAAAAGGTTTATTGATGTGCCTCTGGCAAGTGTGATTTTTTGTGTTAAAATTGATAAAAATTGAGTCATAAAAGAGCAATTTAAATATATATTTGCTAATTATATTTATTCTTTCTTTTCAATAATATTTCTCACCTATTGGTTGTGTTTTTACAGGAAAAGAAGTGAAAATTATAAAAAGCATGTTCCTGTTAATGCAATTTCACCCGGGTGCAGCATAGGCCAAAGTCCAGAGAAATGGCGCCACTTAGGGCCAAACTCATGCTAAGTGGCGCCAAAGTAAAGCAAATGGCGCCTCCCAGCACCATGAAACAAACCAGCGCCCAACAAGAAGAAAGAGTGGCGCCACTAGGCGCCCAAAGTGAGGAGGAATGGCGCCAAGTGGCGCCCAAAAGCAAGGAGGTGGCGTCAACTGGCGCGTGTACGTGCAATCAGGTCCGACTTTTCACAATTGGACAGTAACTCCGCGCGAAGTGGCGCCGGGTTGCGAGGAAATTTTACCGTGTTATCTTGGGGGTATTTTTGAGAGAAGGAAAAGAGTCATATAAATAGGATCTTTATGACAGAATTAGGATTCAGACCTATTCTTCTGAAGAGAGACGACGACAGAGCTCTGAGGTGATTCCTGGGGATCAAGTTCTTTTTCTCTTTTCTCCTTAATTTTATGCTTTTGAATATTGGATTATTTTTAGCCATGATTATGCTTGGCTAGTTTTCTTTTATTGTAGTTAGGGTCACGAGCCCTATGTGAACCCTTGTTACGATGGATTGATTTAATTTTATTCATTTATATAATTATCTTTGTCTCTACCTTGTGCGTATTTTCTATTTTCTTTATTAGAACTGATCAATCTGATAGTTGAGAATAGTTTGAGGGTTGAACCCTAGATATGAATATTGGGGTTTTGATCTTGAAATGAGGTAGGACAACAATTGGTATGCATGCTAGGAATAAATGTGTATTTAATTACGGATGCTTAAATTATTGCGTTCATTGCTTAATACCACGAGGAACATTGCAAGGAAGATCCAGCAAATTCATGGTTTCAGGTTCTTGAAAAGAGAGTCGAGGTTTCAAAGACGACGACGACATTAAAAGTCCTGAGATCCATTGTGAAAAAAGATTTGTGTAAATTCATTAATGGATTTATAATTGATTTATATAAAATTTTAATTAGCTATTTGATAAATAAATTTGTTGATGACAAATGCCCTATAACACTTTTTTATTGTTGCGATATAGATTTCATAAATGTATAAACATTATACTTTTATTACAATGTTTTTAAAAATATTATATAAATTTATCAATTATTAAATTTCAAGGATTTTATAAGGGGGAAACATTGCCCAATAGTTTGTAGAGCATCCTCTACTTTGATTGAATAATATAATTGTTATTCTTATTTAAATTCATCTTTCTCTTATTTATAAAATATAAATATTTTCAATGTTATTTATTTAATTTTTTTGCTTAAATAAAATCTTTTGAACTGTTTTTTATTGGTTTATTTATTTAAATTATTTTTTATATAATTACTTTATAAATAAAAATATGTAATTTTATATATTTATCAACACTTTTTAGAGGACGAAATAATATAATAATGAATAAGGCGGATTTTTTGGTTAATTATTTTTTTAAGTTCAAATTTATAAATTTTTTATTTGGCAAAACAAAAAAACTAGGAAATGGATCCTCTAATATGAAAAAAAAAACATGCTATGGTCATGTGAAGATCACAACCATACAAAGATAAATCAACGGTTATGATTTCATAACTATCTATTTTAACATTTTTTTCTCTCTTCCTTTATTACTATTAATCTACATTTGTATGGTTATTATTCCCCACATGACATGGTCATGTGAATTTTCACATGAGAGGATCTAGATCCAAAAAAACTAAGCCAAATAGTTACTTCAGTAAATTTAACAAAACTATTCCAAATGATTTTAACTTTTCAAAATTTTAAAAAGATTTTAATGAGTGTATTTTTAAAAGAAAAAAATTATCCTAAAGTATACCAGAGTAAATTTTTAAAAATAAGAAATTTTCTTTATATATACCAGACAATCATTCTGTTCTATATATGTACCTATCTTTACAGATTTTTTTTTATTTCTAAATTTTGAAAACTATGAGAAATTTTTTTTTATAACAAAATTTATTTTTAAATCTTATGAGATATAATTTATATTTAATAAATAATATAATGCTATTAACACATTTTACTATAAGCGTCTTTAATGAATAAAGTGCTAGAGAAAAAAAAAATAAAAAAAAATATTTTTTCATCAATTCGTGATCCTAAACTAACTGTCAACCCTCAAATACCAATATAAAGATAATACTTTTTTTTTTTTTTGAGTTACCCAACCCTAATTATCTCTTTGAGACGAGTTGGCTCCCTCCGGTATCCCCACGAGCTTCGACTCTTTGAGCCGGCTATGGGACTAATCCGGAGTGCGGGGAACAGTGATGGCTATAATACTTTCTTATATTATTCATCCTCAACTAAGCTTATATACACATAATTCAATCCCCAAATAGCTATAAAACAACAAGATTCATTCTTTCTTGTTTTATCCAAAAAAGAAAAGAGTAAAGTCCTTTTTAGGGCTAACAAAAAATACAGTTACTATTTTCGTCCTTTACAAAAAAAATATCCATATTAATCTTTTTTTAGGGACTAAATTGGGCCTTCGTTAAAATTTTGAGGGACCACAATTTTAAAGAACTGAAATTGTAGAGGATCAAAAGTTAACTTTTATTTGTAAGGGACGAAAGTGGGGATCGTATATTTTCTCAGCAACCCAAAAGGGGTTTTACTAAAAAAAAAAAAAAACTATGTATGAAATATCCTCATAACAACATCCTAAACAGCTAACTAAAGTATCTCCTATAATATTATCAAAAAAAAGTATCTCCTATAAAATCATGGAAAATAAAAACAGCTAACTAAAGTATCTCCTATAAAATCTATTTACAACAACTATGTATGAAATATCCTCATAACAACATCCTAAAGAGAATGAAAATCTATTTACAACAACTATGAAATATCCTCATAACAATATCCTAAACAGAATGATAAGATAAAGATTTTAAATTCAAATTTCAATTTAACACTAACGATTCATTCTCAAACAGAAAAATAAATTAATTTTATAAAATAATATTTTTAACCAACCCCGGTAAAAATAATTTATTTATTTTTAAATATTTCCATGAATACCTTCAACAAATCAAAAACAAAAACTAAAAATATAAAAAAAATATAAACATATACATATTTTGAAAATTCAAATACTTTCTTCGTTGAATAACAAAAATGAGTAAAACAAATATTTCTTTTTTATTTTCTTAATTTGTTGCCCTAAATTATGATCATGCTTCAAAACTCAATGTCGACTTCGTTTAAAAAATAAAGATTAATTAACAGGTTACCAAACTTAATTTGTTGAAATTCACAATCACATGCAAGATATTTTTTATTTATATAAATATTTTATGATTTCATTTTATATTTTTAATACAAAAAAGAAACATTTTTTTATTAAATTGTGAAAAAAGGAGTACTAATAATTGCAATTAATATATTATTTTTACAAGATTTGTAAAATCAATATGACATTTTTGTAATTATAATTAAAAATTGAAAGAGAAAATTTTTCAAAAACAAGAGAAAGGAATGGTTTAATTTTGTGATAATGGCAGTTAGTAAACAGTGCACGGACCAGACGAGTCAAGCTACAAAATACATTAAAATAGAGCATCAAATACAATGATTCTCTATGGAATTTGTAATTAAATGACATGATGAGCTTATATGTGAATGAACGATGTCAAATTTGTCAAAAGTCATAACCTTCTTCAAAATCCCAGCTTCATAATAGTTTCTAAAAATATCAGTAGGAGCATTTGGTTCCCGCAATTCCTTAATCTGTTGAGCACATCTTCTCCCCAAACTAGATCCCAAATCAACATTTAAACAGCTCCGTAAGTCAAGATATTGAATGTGAGGACAACCATCAAGAATGGCAAGCAAGCCAACATTAGTCAACTTGTTTCCAGACAGCTCCAGATGGCTTAACTGAGGCATGGTTCTAGCAATAGCAAATGCCTCCTCATCAGAGTCATAGGTGGCAGCGTTGAATTTCAAGGATTTTAAAAGTGGGCAACATTGTCCAATTGCTTGTAGACCATCCTTACGTATGTAACAGAAGGAAATGTCAAGCTCCTCTAACATCGGAAGCTTTTTAGCAACTTCACTCAATACTCTATCCGATATGCTACAGCAATATGCAAAACGTAGCCGTCGTAGATGACATGTACTGTAAGATGGCATGATACAAAAATATTTTCAGCCATGCATGCATGCATATATAAACACACAAATTCTAATTGATAAATGGAGAACGTATCAATAAAAATGAAAACTTGACCTCTAGCAATGAGATACATGAACTTTTTTCTTTAGTCTTTCACAGATATAATAACAGAAATCATCCAAATTACAAAAATTAAATGAAATTAACTTGAATTGAGATTTTTCATTACTTCAATCTTTTTTTTTCTAGAACGACACCACATTGTTCCTTCTTGAAAATACCTTGGGGTCCCATTGACTCGGCCTTAACAAAGTGAACAAGTTTGAAAAATTAAACCCTATTTATCACCGTTGACATTCACATTGAATTGTAAGTCTTGACATACACCAAAAATAAGTTTAAAAATCAGAAACTTAAAGATTCGAAAAGCAAACTAAAACTAACAAATTATAACATTTGAAGTGAACAACAAAAAACAAGAAACGAGAAACAAACTTACGAATAGGTGATATACTCGAGCAGATCATCGGTACCAAAATGCTCGACATTAATATCCACCAATTGGCCACAGCTGCGGTTAATTGCTTTGCGACACATAGTCCTCAAATCGTAGGGATAGTCCTTATTCTGCACGTCAATGGTCCTCAAATTGAAGTGGGAGATGTAGGAATAGTCATCAATCCGCATGTCAATGGTGCGCCACATAAGAGAATCAAAACAGATATTCCTCCACTCAGTGCACACCAACTGAGCGTTCATTAGAATTTCAATTGCACCAAGCTTCTGGAGAATCTTTGCTGTAACATCCCGCGGAAGATCCAACCAATCCCTGGTTTCGGATTCTTTTGAACAGGGTCGCGGGTTCGAATGCCAAGACAACCACATCGACGAAATTGCTGAGAAGATGATTTCCCCCAAAAATCTAAGAAAGGTTTTTGGCTTAAGAAGAGCTTTGACTATAACTAACACCATGCTCTGGATTAGTTCTATAGTTGCTCAAAAAATTGAAGCTTAGGAAGAGGGAAGTCCAAGAGCTAATTAGGGTTTGGAAAAAGAATAAAGATTTTACTCAATAAGCATGTTTATATTTACAATTTTTTTTTTACAAACTAACTACTAACTACATGCGTAGTACATACTCATTTGAATATGTACTTCCCGTAATTAGGTTTTTTTTTTTCAATTTTTGCTTCGAGAACAACAAAAAATGGATAGAAAGCTCGTGTGGTAATTCCGGACACAAAATGAGACACACTTTTCTTTCTTATTCACTTTCCACGAGTACCATTATCATCATCACCATTTCATCACCACCACCACCATTATCGGCAGACCTGTATTGGTGCAACTGTGTGCAAGTGCACATACAGACTTTTGAAAAAAAAAAAAAAAAGTATATTTTGGGCTCTCAACAAAAATTAAAGTGCCAAATTTAATCTTTTAGGAAAAAAAAAGTCGACTCGCGGTCCCTCTAAATTTCAAAATCGACCTGATTAGTTGAAATTGTGGTCCCTCTAAAATTGGAAGAAAACTTACATTAGTCTCTCAAAACAACTAACATGGGTTTACTTTGGAATTCAGAGGGATCACAGGTCGATTTTTTTCTAAGGAATTAAATTGGGTCGCATGATTTTTGTTGAGGACCCAAAAGATACTTTATTTTTGTAGTAAGTTCAAGTTTTTTTTTTCTTTCTATATATTCTTTTATTTTTTAATAAATATAAAAATTTCTTTTACAAAAATTTCAGGGTCACCGCCTCCAAATCCCCTCCCTAAATATACAGACATAAATAAAAAATTTACCGTCACCACGCTACCACCGCCACCACACCATTTGAAAAGGAAAGTGGTGATATGAAAAAAGAAATTATACTTAATAGGAATACTTTTTTATTATATTATTTGTTTTGTTATCAAACCCAATTCTTATTTTCAGAATAAAAATAGAATATATTATCAAAAAAAAAATTTAGAAACTGTTCCCATACATATAAATTAAAAAGAATTATTATTTATAAATAATATTAGGGAACAAAATGATTGTCATGTAAACCCTTAATATAACCTACCCTCTACTCAATATAAGTGATATTAGGGTTTGAAAAAAAAGGATATTTTAATAAATTTAAAATAAAAAATGAAAAATGGATCTTGTCATGTGAATTAATTATAAGTGATATAAATCTCTAGGTATCATTTTATCCTGAAATCAGATTCCATCGATCCCTATTTTATAGTATATACCCTCATAATCCGTGCCATTCTATTTCTTTCGTTTTGTACAATATCCTAAGACACCAAATTAATCCCGACTTTGATTTCCCATTTTGCCATCCCATCTATCCGATACAAAAAATCGAAATGAATACTCTTATGAGTTATTCAACGTAATAATATCTAGGGATGGTAAAAAAGAGCTAATCTGTAGGGTTAGCTTCTAATTCGCATAAAATAAATTGGATTGGGCCGGTAAAAATAAGCATTCAGCTTGAAAAAAACTAGTCAACTAGTTAAACGGGTTAGCTCATGAGTTATCCTTTTAATGAAGTATTAGACCTTTTGTAATATATTTGATTTGTTGTTCTAGTCTTGTAACTTGTTACTTTAACTATGAAAAAATGTTTGTCCTTTTAAATGACACAACTTATGTCATTTCACTCTCACAAGAAGTGAGACCCACACCTTTATATTTTTTTGTCCACTCTCTCCTCCTTTATCTATCTTTTTCTCTCATTTAAAATGACACAACTTTACATCCTTTAAAATGATACACAATTTTCCTCTTTTTTTTATGAATAAAAAGAAAATTTCCCTTTATAGTAGATATCTATATCAAATGAAAACAATTTCTTTAGCTTCCCTTACCATATGTGTTGGATTAGTATGACAAAAGTTATTTTTTTTCTCTATTTTTTTGAGCCAACCCGCGAGTTAAACCTAATCAGGCTCGAGTCAAGTTAGGTTGCGTTTTCTGGCTTGTTTTTTTTTTGAGTCAACCCTAACCGGACTCTTTTTTTCGGGTTGCAAACGAATTGGTCCGGGTCGAGTCGGGTTAACCTATTTTGCCAACCTTAATCATATCATCTATTAATAACTAAACTGTGATAATTGTATAACTTGTATTTTTATATTTTTTTCTCTTTTTCTTATCACTATTAATCCACCGTTTTAGGTTAAATTTTCTCCACATGGCATCAACATATTAATTAAGAGGAGAGCATCCACTCTCACAATTGTTGCTTTGATTTCTTATGGAAACAAAACCCAACCATGGCATGAACCACAATTGTTTAGTTAGAGGTGTCGAATACACTAATTTCGTTTGTGATTGGGTCTTTTTTTAATCTTAATTCCCAAAACCCTATAACTTAGTAGATTTGATGTGAGTTTATCCGCAGGCTAAAATTTTACCTTTATTAAAATTTCCATTTTTAATATGGGGAGGATCCACTTACCACCAAAAAAGTTTACAACTCTTACAACCAATTTAATCACCGTTGATTTCCGTCAATCTAACTGTTATAATTTATTGGAAATTAATCAATGTGACACAATAAATATTATTAATTTATAACCGTTAGATTGACGGAAATCAACGGTGATTAAATTGGTTGTAAGAGTTGTAAACTTTTTTGGTGGTAAGTGGATCTGTTCCCTATATATATATATATATATATATATATATATATATATATATATATATATATATATATATATATAAAGTAAAAATTTATTATTATAAAATAAATTATAAACATAATTTAAAAACAAAAAAATATAATTTACGATATAATTTCATAGAATATATATTTTAAAGATTTAATAAAAAATTTATATTAAGTATTATTTCGGGGATGAGATCCGTTTATAAATTTTTTTTGCATTACACTAAGTGTGACCGGTCGTATACTGCATGATTAAAGTATGACCGGTCGTACTTAGTGTAGTTTGTAAGAGTTTGTAAACAAACTTTTTTTTAAATATAACCTGCCACATTGTTTTGAATTATTTTACGTGAAAAATATTTTCTTTTCTAATTATAATTATAGTTTATTCATTCTTATATGATATTTGGAATAAAATTAACCATCAAGTTAAAATATATATAAATCAAATTCTTAAAAATAAATTTATATCAAAATTTAAATAATATAAAAGAGATAAACTTGTATTAAAATATAGATTTGTTATCCAAATTAAAATCTAATAGTGTGGAATGTTAAAACAAACACTAGTTGTCTAATAATTAATAATTAATATAGTGCGTTAGGGATGTCAAAACGGGTCCACATGACACGACATGAATTTGACATGACACAAATATACGCAATATGAACACGACACGAATTTTTTGTGGTTGACACCATACGAGTACACAAATAACACACAAATCATAGATCAAAATGGTAATTGACCAAAAAAATTAGAAACAAGGTCAAAATGGTAATTGACACGGTTTTTTTGCTGTTTATTTTTTCCATCACGTTCACGAGAAGAATTTTTTTTCGGATTGATCCGAATATGAATTTTCATATCATGTCACATGTCAACCCGCATATTATAACCTGTTTTGGCAGCCTTGGTGATAAAGTCATATTGGAATGAATCTTCATATAATTTTAAAATTATCATGGTGTCACATATGAATCTCAACTATTTCACAATTTTATTTACAATTTATAAAAAGAAGAAGAAATATTCAACGTAATTGCTCACTGTTGATGGTTGGTATTCATATTATTTGATCGTGTTAAAATTAAACTTGATAGAATCCATTTATAGATTCTTTTAAATATTTCCTTTTTATAACAAAATAAAAATAATCAGCTCTAAGACATTTGGCTTAAGGCCAAGTAGGTAATTTACCATATGAATTTTTATAATTTAATTAAGGAATTAATGTTTCTCTTGTAATAAGAGGTAAAATTTTCTTCTACAATATCAAAACGATGTTGTTTTGAGATAAGAAAAAAAGGCAAAATATTTTGATAAAATACATTATACAAAAAAAAGTAAATTTATTAAACAGAAAAATATTTATGCAATTACTGCAGATAAGTTATCTGCATTTACTCCCAAAACGACGTCGTTTTGGGATTGAAATATTAAAAAATTATAATTATAAAGACTATAATAATCCTAAAATAAATTAAAATTACAAAAACATCATAATTTTTTTTCCAAAATGACGTCGTATTGAACTTACTATAAATAAGTATCTGCATTAACGGCAGAAAAAACGAACCCTTCATTAAAATATCCTGCATTTTTTTTTTCCAAATCATAAAATGATGTCATTTTGAATTGCTCGAAATAACTCTACTGAGAAATATTTTTTCCTTTAATTAAATTTTAATCTAGTTGATGTAATTAAAAAAATTCAATTAAATTTTCATGGTTTTAATTTTTTAAAGAAGAAATATTTGTCATTTTAAATAAAAGAATCGTATTTTGATATATATATTTTTACATTACACTTTCTTTCTTTTTTTCCCTTAATTTTATGAACAAAAAATAATGTAAAAAGTCAAAAATAATAAAATACGAACAAAATTGTGTGAATTAATATGAATAAAAGCTATACCTTAAAAAAAAAATAGTGGAGGAAATCCCATTTCGAAATAGTAAAAGCTCTTATACTCTCGCTCTCTCTCACATTCGCGCTATATGGCTACGCTTTCGCTCACTCTCAAAGGCTTGTGTTGTTGGAGAACCGTGGAATATGCTCCCACCAGAGATTCCTCTACCTTCACTAATCTCAGTCACAGTTAGTCTAACCTTTCTTTAATCGCTTTTACATTTATTTATTGGATTTCTCTTTCTTCCATTGTTTCATTGATGTATTTCCACTTACCCAAATAGTAAATAGAATAGATGAAGAGAAAGCCGAAACAATTTGTGTCAGATGATTGAAAACTTGAAGAATTCATTAATTCCTGATAAATTCAGTTGCAATTGCATAAATGAACCATACAGTCTGAGAGCTTCATTACTTCCTCCCAAGGTTGTTGATGGTGGTTGCTGCTGAGGCTTCTCCTTCTAACCTATGCGGATTCACTGCTACATTATAATTTCATTGCTCTCTGCAATGCACACAAGCTCTTACACCCCAAAACATCCCATGTAGATTTTATTGAAATTTTTTATCTGTAAGAGTTCCAGCAGCTTCATTGAACCTACAAACTATATTGTATTTTTCATAGGGAGTAGATATAGAACATGTTCCTTTGCCAAGAAGTCGTTGAAGAAATCCAAAAGAGATGGACCAGAGGCATTGGGAGATCTCTCAGAGGACAGAATTTTTCAAAATGACAAATTGGACACTTCTCTTAATCCAGCAGCCCAGAATTCTAACCCTGTACCTTCCAGGAGTGCTGTGCTTCAGGCTTGCATAATAACTTCTGGTCTCATAGCTGCTTTGGGAATAGTGATTCGGCAGGTGCTCTTCCTTTTATGCATTGCTAGTTCAGTTTCCCCCCTTGCCGCATTTTTTCAACTTTATTGCTATTTTAATGATATAAACATGAATGCGCATGAAACTCGTATATATTTCATTTGACCATTATAGAAAGTATTTCAGTATGATCTGTTCTTCCTTACACCACATTATTCAGGGGAAGTTAAAATGAGATTGAAGTTCTATTCTTCAGAACCAAGTTCTTAATTTCAAAGTTTTCATTTTCTTCTTGAAAGGAGAATTCTCAAATTTATCAAAATTTGATTGAAGATTGTTTGCCATGGAAATTTGCATAACAAAGGATATAATGTTCATTTTGTACTTCATATAGTTTTTGCTACTTGCAGATATCTCATGTTGCTTCAACGGAAGGATTGCCAGTCTTGGACTGCTCTACAGAAGTATCATGTATTACACTCATTTACTTCTTATTTTTAGTTTGTGGTTCAAACTTCTAATGATTCTCTTTGATTGGAAGGGATACATGTATTCATATAAAGATATTGTATATCCAAGAACTATTTTTGAACTCCTAATTGCATAAAATAGCTGTTCTCCTCAGACATGTGCTGCTACCATAAACCAGTACTGATGTTTGTGAAATACTGCAATGCATGTGGCAATGTTGGATTTTCAAGTGGTATCTGCGGTGAAAATTATTGAACCTAGGGATTGACAATTTCTGTATTTTTTAACCGTAAGGCATGAAATTACAACCTTGACCGTGTTTTTAATATGGAGCAACTAGCAAGGCTACACATGCAGGGATCTATTTATTCTGGCATTATCATGAAAACTGACATGATGTCCAAATTATCTCATATTTTTCAAGTGGAACTTAAAGGCTAACATGACATGACTTCTAATGGATCTAATCATGAATAGGAAAACTTATGTGAAATTTTTTGTCAAGTGTCTGTAGCAATTATAAATGTGCTTGTTTCTTGGTATAAACACTTTGCAACTGTGTTGACATTTTTTTATCATAATCTGTTAAAAAAAATTTTCCTTTGTTCGCAGTTGGTTTTGAAATTTGGCATCTTGAGTTGATTACAGGACTTGTAGTATTAATATCATCATGTCGCTATTTGCTTTTGAAGACATGGACAGATTTTGCTGACTCTAGCGAAGCCGCTAATCAGCAGGTAACTGAATCAAGCCATGGATCTGGAAATATCCTGTAAGATTTTATGAGCTTGGTGTTGTTATCAACGGATTGGCATTTAATACTTGAATATTCTATAGTAAATGATAGTAAGTTGAGTAGGAAGTTTGGGCATCTGACTAGAAATCATTCCTAGCTGAGATGACTTCTCTTGCTAGTCTGTTGCTTTTGTCATTTTTGTGTTTCTGTCTGTATCAGTACTCGGATGCTTTGCTGAACTCTGGAAATATTTTGCTTTCCCAATCAGGTCCTTAGCTCACTCCAGCCTTTGGATTATATTGTCGTCGCATTTTTGCCTGGGATTAGTGAGGTTAAAAACGAGCTACTCTTCTTGGCTTATTTCATCTTTCTTGTCTATTTTTCATTATTTGACTGATATGACATGTTAACATCTTAAATTCCAGGAACTACTTTTCCGTGGTGCAATTCTGCCACTTTTGGGAATGAACTGGGAGAGTATTGGGGTGGCTGCCTTGATCTTTGGTGTTTTGCACCTTGGCAATGGTCGAAAGTATTCCTTTGCCATCTGGTGCATATCTTTCTAATTTCTGCCCTCCCGGCCCTCTTTTCTCTCTTTCTCCCCACTTGGTTAAAACTTAAAACTGTATAGCTAATTGTTAACCTTCTACTGTATCCTGTCTGTAGCCTGTTGTAGGTCACATCTACTTTCCATTATTGTGTTGTTAGTCCTAATTAAATTACAACTTAAGAATAAGATTGTTGTTTGTGTTTCAGGGCAACCTTCGTTGGTCTTGCTTATGGATATGCTACAATTTTATCCTCTAGCGTTGCAGTTCCCATGGCTTCTCATGCAGTGAATAACTTGATTGGAGGGCTTTTATGGCGCTACACATCAAATACATCAAAGCAGAAATGAATTGAGTAATTGCCATCTTTACAGATATAGTCAATCCCCTCCCTCCGAAACAAAAAAAATCTTGATTGATGGCCAAATGCCTGGTGTTATGTTATGTGCATAAGAATTTAAGATACAGAGACCAGTCCAAAGAGGATTGTTTGCAAATGTAGCAACTATTGGCAGCACTGCTCTCTCTTCCATTTTTTAAGGAAAAATTAAAGTTTGTATATTAGTTATATGGAAAACTATGTCATGTAATTATTTACTATAAATAGTTAACTGCAATTTGCAATGGAAATGGGGTCACTTGGCTTGGTTGTTAAATGTTAACAATTCGGATTTATGTGTCTCCCATTTTTGGAATATGGCTTCATTCTCTTGGGACTCGACCTTCGTTTTTGTTACACTTTGGAATATTTCCCTAAAAATAAAACGGAAAACAAACAGAAAACCAAATCACCCGCGTTTTGGACGAGTGGGCCACGCAGGAAGGTAAGACCAAACAACTAGCTTGCGTTGCGCTTCGTTTCCTATTCCTCATCCCTTTATAAAATGCTGCTTTCCAACCTCTCTTTTTTTAATCCATTCTATTCGTTGCAATCTCTTCTCCTCCTTTTTTTTATCTCTCTCTCTCTCTTCTTCTTTGTTGTCTATTCCTTTTCCCCAGAAATTTGGGTAACCACCCAATATCACAAAGCTTCAATCTTTATGGCTTCGGTAAGATCCTCCTATCATTTCATGCAATGTCGTTTTATGATTTGCAAAAGGGTAGTTTGATCATAAATTTTATTTCATTTTTGTGAACAATTAATCAATGTTTTGAAGCACCCGTATATGCATGTGCAGTATGAACAACAAGGAGGAAAGCCTCTACCCAAGTTTGGGGAATGGGATGTGAATGACCCTGCCTCAGCTGAAGGATTCACTGTTATATTCAACAAGGCCAGAGATGAGAAGAAAACTGGTGGAGGAGGATCTGGGCGCATTACATCACAGCGAAGATATGGTTCACGCAAGGATGATGATAAATCCTCCAAGGTAAATATTAATTGGTGATGTTAATATATTTTCATTTTGCAACAACAATAATGATAAAGCTGAACAGCTAATAATATATATCCATATATTTTGGGTGCAGAGAAAGTGGTTTTGCTTCAAACCTTAGACAAGTTTAAGGATGGTGTGCTTCTGCTGCTTGGGACGTATATGATGATTCTCTTCAATTTCTTCCGAGGCCACATCTGTCGCCAGACCAAGGATTCTAGATAAAAAGAAAAGAAAATAGTTGCAGCCTGCTCGAATCATCGTTGTAGCTTCTAGTTGTTTACTTGTTTTTCCCTTTGCCACCTAATACATTTCATGGATATAGCTACTTGTACGCACCAGCCAAGAGTAATATATAAATAGGTGAAACAATAACTACCTTTTGCAATTACAGAAAGAGAAGATATGTTGGTTATTTTTACTTCCATGATGTTGATGTGCTCAACTAGCAGTTTTTTTGTCTATCATCTTTTAGCTTATGCTATCTTTATAGAGGCATCTTTTATTTGAATATGACGATTACGACTGGGATTGTTCTTGTTGAATGAGGACAAAAATATGATTCTTTATACCAGCAGCAGCATATTGCTGACCACGTTCGGTTGAAATTGAAACTGAGATGATATGGATTGAATCATTGAACACATATTTTATATATATTTAATAATACTATACTATTATCAAATGACTTTGATATAGAGCAATGCTTTTAAATGCCGCAATACATGGACTCCAAATTAGAGGTGAAAGTGAAACACGTTGCTTATTTCTTACTTGTTTCATATTCAGCTATTGGTAATGAAAATAGTTCTTAAAGCTACGAGGAAGGTTAGGGGTAAGGGGCCTTTTTACTGCTTTGTGAAGATAACTTACAGAAGCAGAGAAGGGGGAAATAGGAATATAGACATTTTCATTTCTCAAATGGTTCTTTTGTTTTTTACATTTTGCTCATGACTAATCAATTTGACATGGCAGCTTCAGGATGAAAAGATCATAAATACATGGGAGGATCCAGTCAAAATTATTTGCTCGGTGCAGCGTATTTTGTGGTTTGGCATTTTTCTCTCTTTGAGGTTATGATTTGATATCATATCTTCTCATATGAACTTTTGAACATTAGTTTGAAGTATTGTACTATAATAACTTGAATCAAACAAAACCACGAATACTGAAAATTATAAAGTCTCTAATTCTATTCAATCTTCTTTTCATTTTACCTCAAATCTTACATATTGACACTGAGTAACAAACAATGCAGTAAAAAGGGGGGATGCATGAGTCAATGCTCCAGTGGCCATAAATGATGCTCATGAATGGCAATTGATGCTCTTGAATAGGATACAGGGGTAAGGAGTCTCTTGAGATATGGGACATCCACAATGAATTATTCATCATGTACCCTTGGAATTCCTTTTTATAAGGAATATACCTCCACGTTATGTTACAAGTACTGAGAAACCCTATAAAATACCTCCAATTTTGTCGAATTACAACGAGTATCATATAAAAGGTCCTCGTATCAAGTTTTGTTTAGTCTTTTGTACCATAAGAAGTTTATGAAATTAGTTATTCCTTTTACACTTTCCTCCTTAATTTTGCATAAATTTGGCCTCCTGTTCATACTGCGCATCAAAGCAACAAACTAGGGCTTTGTTTGGGAGTTGATTTTAGGAGGGGAAGGGAAGGGAAGGGAGGGTTTTAGAAAGCCCTTCCCTTGTTTGTGAGTTTAAAAAAGGAGGGGAAGAGTTTGAAGATTTTTACTAAACCCTCCAAAACCTTCCTTCTTCTTAAAATTAAAGTTCTCCCAATTTGGAGGATTTGAGGAGAAAATGTTAAAAATTATTTTTTACCCTTAGCATTAAAATGTTAAAATTACATAATTGTGAATCATTTTTAAATGCGATATTATTAGAAAAGTCTCAAATACTGACAAAATTTATTGACGAAAAATATTTCATAAAAAATAGTGATGAAATTTTTGATGAAAATCATATACGTCAAAAAAATTTCGTCAAAACTAAAGACAAAATTAGAGACGGAACCAGATTTTGCCACAATCACTAACATAAATTTTGTACGGAAAAAAAAATTCAGTCAAAATTATTGATAGAATCTAAATTCTGTGGAAACTTTTAACGAAAATATTTTCATCCAAAATTTTGATGAAACACATTTCCATCGAAAAGTTTCGACGTAAAACAATTACGTCAAAATTTTTTATGGAAAATATTTCCATCGAAATTTTGCAAAAAATATTTCCATCAAAATTTGTGACAAAAGTTATTTCTGTAAACAAATTTGACGAAATTTTTTTTTTGTTAAAATTCTTTACGCAATCTAAATTTTGCCAAAATATATCACAAAAAAATATATTCATCGAAATTTTTGACGAAAAATATTTTCATCAAAATTTTTAACGAAACACATTTCTATCGAAAATTGTTGACGAAAAAAAATGTCATCAAAATTCTTAACAGAATTTAAATTTCACCGAAACTTTTCGACGGAAATATTTTCGTTAAAATTTTTGGCAAAAAAAATTTCTGTCAAAATTTTTAACGAAATACATTTCCCTCGAAAATTTTCGACGAAAAACATTTCCGTCAAGTTTTTATATAAAAAATATTTCCATCAAAATTTTCAACGGAACGCATTTTTGTCAAAAGTTTCGACAGAAAATATTTTCGTAAAAAATTTTGACGGAAAATATTTTGATGAAAAAATATTGTGTCAAAATTCTTTACAAAATCTAAATTTCGTTGAAAGTTTGAATGAAACATTTCCCTCAAAATTTCTAATAAAACAATTTCTGTCAAAATTTTCATCAGAACACATTTCCATCGAAATTTTGAACCAAAAATGTTCCGTCAAAATGTTTGAAAGAATTCTTTTATGTTTAAAACATCTGATGGAGGAAATCATTTTCATCAAAACTTTTGATTATTTTTGTAAAAATTTTCATCAGTTGAAAAATTCCGTCGCTTTTCGACGAAAAGTATTCTAACGATTCATCGTTTGCAACGTAGAAATTTCATCGAAAATATATTCTTTTTTGGTGTTGTGAAAAGTACATAAATAATTTTTTTAGAAATTTTAAATTTAATTTAATTTAATTTAATTTGTAAAGTATAATAATTATATTAATTCTAAAAAAAGGGTAAAATGATAAAAATATCTCATTGACCATCCATTATTCTCCCATCCCTTTTTTTTGACTACCAAACAAGGGAAGGAGATACCATCCAATTTCCTCCCATTCCTTCCCCTTTGTTTGGGAGTTTGGAGGGAAAGAAAAGGAAAGGGATCCAAGGGGGAGGGAGGGGAAGGAAGGGAATTGAAGGGCATTCCCTTCACTTGTTTAGGAGTTAAAAAAGTGGTAAAGGAGAAAAATTGAGGATTAATGAGATATTTTTACTATTTTATCCTTTTTTAAAATAAATATAATTATTATAATTTGCAAATTAAATTAAATTTAAAATTTCTAACAAAATTATGTATCTACTTTTGACAACACCAAAAAAGATCACATTTTCGATGAAATTTCTACGTTGCAAACGATGAAAATTCATCACAAAACTATTCAAAATAATTTTTTTCGTCGGAATACTTTTCGTCGAAAAGAGACGGAATTTTTCAGCCGATAAAATTTTTTACAAAAGTAAATTTTCTATCAAAATTTTCGACGAAATTTAGTTTTCATCAAATGTTTTAAACGGAAAAAGAATTCTGTCAAAAAATTTGACGGAACATTTTTCATTCAAAATTTCGATGGAAATGTGTTCTGACGAAAATTTCGACAGAAATTGTTTTGTTAGAAATTTTGAAGGAAAATGTTTCATTCAAAACTTTCGACGAAATTTAGATTCTGTAAAGAATTTTGACAGAATATTTTTTCCGTCAAAGTTTTTGTCGAAATATTTTCCGTCAAAAATTTTTAAGGAAATATTTTCTGTCGAAATTTTTGGACAGAAATGCGTTCCGTTGAAAATTTTGATGGCAATATTTTTTATCAAAAAACTTGACAGAAATATTTTCCGTCGAAAATTTTCGATGGAAATGTGTTTCCCTAAAAATTTCAACAGAAAATTTTTTTCCCAAAAAATTTAACGAAAATATTTCCGTCGAAAACTATCGGCGAATTTAAATTATGTTATGAATTTTTTTTTCGTCAAAAATTTCGATGAATATGTTTTTTGTGAAATATTTTGGCAAAATTTAGATTCCGTAAAGAATTTTGACAAAAATATATTTTTTACATAAATATTTTTAGTCACAAATTTTGATGGAAATATTTTTCGTCAAAATTTGGAAGAAAATATATTCCATAAAAAATTTGACGTAATTGTTTTACATCGAAACTTTTCGATGGAAATGTGTTTCGTTAAAATTTTGGACGGAAATATTTTCGTTAAAAGTTTCAACGAAATTTAGATTCTATCAATAATTTTGAATGAATTTTTTTTCCGTACAAAATTTATGTTAATGATTATGGCAAAATCTGGTTTCGTTTCTAATTCTATGTTTAGTTTTGATGGAAATTTTTTGACGTATATGATTTTCATCAAAAATTTCATCATTATTTTTACGAAATATTTTTCGACATTAAATTTTGTCAGTATTTGATAGGGTTGGCAAAGCGGGCCAACCCGACCCCACCTTTGTTTAACTCGAAAAAAACGAGTCGGGTTAGGATTGACTCGAAAAATAAACGAGCCAGAAAACTCAACCCAACCCGACCCTAGTCGGGTTAGGGTTGACTCGCGGGTTGACTCAAAAAAATGGAAAAAAATAAATAAATTCCATTGATGCTATAACTTTTAAATTTTTTTTTCTAAATTATTAATTCATTCAATACAAAGACATTATACAGATAAACCATAAAAAATTCCTTTTGCATTTGGACTTGGACTTATTGGCAGCTGACACCACATTCACACTGTCACACATACTATAAAAAAGGTCCTTAATGCATGGTTTTGGACTTATTGGCAGCTGCAGGGTATTTTCGTTTGGGTCTTTGGAATTGAGATTTTAGGTTTTAGCTTTCCACTTTACCTTCATTAATTTTTATACTTTTATATTAAAAAAAAAGCCATAACCCGCGAGCCAACTCGTTTGACTCGTGGGTTGGCTCGGTTTTTTTCGAGCTAAAACGAGTCGG